GTGGGGACTGTGTTCAGCAAGACTGTGGCACCCCCTGTGGGTGCCCCGGTTTTAAGTCCTGGTACCAAAAGCTCTCCCAGTTCCGGTAGCACCTGAGTACCACCAGATGTGCCCCCGCTTCTGACATTAAAAGTGAAAAAGACTGAGCCAGCTGCTCTGAACTCCTGAAGTCTAATGAACTTCTGTAATCCGTGTGTTTATCACACGGCGATCAAATTATCCGTGTCTGTGACTGTAGTCCTTGAGTAGCTGGAGAGCTCAAGGCTAGTGTCTGTATTTTTCACATTTGGGGTGATAATTAGATGTTTATCGAGTGACTGAGGGGGTTCACTGAATCCATTGAACAAATTTCAAGCCTGGAGCCTTGAGGCTGGGGTGGCTGGAAATCAGCAGAGGGAAAAGGACTGGGGCTGATCGCTTCGTAAATGCTGCCACCTCGTGACTTAACTCAGAAGCGCAGCTAGGCTCCCAAGCGCAAGGACAGAGCGTTTCTCGTGATTTCCTGGAATACTCCAAGGGTGACACTGAGGAAATCGTAGGCGTGGGTGGGGCACAGGAACAAAATAAGGGAAGGGGCACATGAGTGGGAGAGATTGGGAAACAGTGCTTTGCAGCACTTGTTTTCAACCTCTGGTTGGACAAGCAGTCCGTGCAGGAGAGAGGAGGATTGGTACTTAGGTGCCAGGCTGACAGACAGTCCAGAAAACTCAGGTGAGTGCAGTGATAGCACAGTGGGCAAGGAGCTTGCCTTGCATAATTCCAACCTGGGTTCGATCCATAGTACCCCACATAGTCCCCCAAGTCCACTGGAGCACAGAGCAAGGAAGAGGTCCTGAGCACTGCTGGGTAGCACTGTAGCACTGTCCTCCCGTTGTTCATGGATTTGCTCGAGAGGGCCCAGTAATGTCTCCATTTTGAGACTTGTTGTTACTGTGTTTGGCATATCAAATACGTCACGGGTAGCTTGCCAGTGCGGGCGAGATACTCTCGGTAGCTTGCCGGACTCTCCGAGAGGGGCAGAGGAATCGAACCTCCATGCAAGGCAAACGCCCTACCCGAGCACTGCTAGGTGTGGCCCAAAAACTAAAGGGGAGGTGTTGGGGAAGGGTCAGCAGAGGAGGTAGGTCCTGAGGGTGGTGATGCTCAGGGCTTTAGTCTTGACTCTGTGCTTAGGGATCACTCCTGGTGGGGGACCATATGAGATGCTGGGGTTGGACGTGGGTGAGTTGCTTGCAAGGCAAGCCCCCTGTCCAGTGTGCTGTCTCTGAACCAGAAGTCACTTCTATAGAGTAATGTTTCTGTCTGTTGTCTGAGTCTTCCTGATGAGAAGGGCAGCTCCATGCAGGCAGGAACCTTTGCCTTGCTCAGCACGGGGCAGGTGCACTGAGGATGTGGACTGAGCACCCCTGGGGTGCGGCCATAGCTGCCCCTGATTTGCTTTCTGCTTCCTGAGCCTTCTGTGCCCACACTAGAGGGCAGGATCCATGCTCATTTACTGAAAGGACCTCCTTAGTTCCTCACTGCGGTGGCTCAGTTCCTCTTTGGCCTAATGGCCTTGCACCCTAAAATTCTGGCCACACCCACTCCTCCTTCTTCCCATGAGGATTTTCAGGCTGTGGGTCTTGGCACTCACCATTGTCTGCTTAGAAGAAGGAACTGATCAAGGCTTGTACTGCAGCCTGAGGCTGCCATCCTCAGGACCCATCTCCTTTGCATTTTTTTTCTCCTTTGTTTTTCTGGGAGACACCCAGCAGCTCGAGCAAATCGACGATCAACGGGAGGGCCTTTACCTTTACTTTTACCTTTACCTTACCCAGCAGTGCTCAGGACTTACTCCTTGCTCTGCGCTTAGGAAATCTCTTCTGGTGGACTCTGGGGACAATATGGGGGGATGGAGATTGAACCTGGGTGGGCTATGTGCAAGACAAGAGTGCTGGAGCTGGAGCAAGAGTTCAGTGCAAGAGGGCGTTTGCCTTGCAGACACCCAACCCCGTTTGATTCCCGGCTCCCATATGGTTCCCCAAGCACCACCAGAAGTAATTCCTGAGTGCAGAGCCAGAAGGAAACCCTGAGCATTGCTGGGTATGCCTTAAAAAAAAAAAAAACAAAAACAAAAAGACAAGTGTGCTACCAGCTGTTTTATCTCTCCAGCTCCAAAGTGGCATCTTTACAAAAGGAAATTCAGACATAGAACAGGCCTGTGCAGGGGTGAACCACTGAACCAATGGGGTGATGTTCTCAGCCTGCCATGACCCCATTAGGGCAGTAGCAGGGGGTTCCCCACGTGTGTCAGAGAGTAGGCTTGCAGACACCTCAGTTTCAGACTTTGGGTTTCCAAGCTGTGCACTTGCGTGTTGTCAGCTCTGGACCCAGGTCATCCATGCAAAGCTCACACTGCACCACCCAACTTATGCACTTCTCATCTCCCTGCTGGGACCTGCATGTCTCTTCTCAATGACCTAGCTTGGTTACAGTCACCCCAGGACCAGGCAGTTCGAAGGCAGACACTTTCACTGCCCTGTAAGTCCATCTCAGCCACCCCACCATTGTCATAGGGACCTTGAGTCCATCTCAGCCACCCCACCATTGTCATAGGGACCTCGAGGCTGCTGACCCCACCTCCCCTGCAACTCCCCTTCTTTGCCCACCCCCGGTTTGGATTTTTTCTCTCCTGCAGTGCCAGGGGATCAAACCCCATATTCAGGGTGGGCGCTTTCGCACCGAGCACCCCCTCTGGTCCCGTGAGGATTTCCTTTGCTACCTACATTCTCTCTGCCTCCCCCACCAACCTTTCAGCAGGACTTCCTGTCTTCGCCTCAGTTGGGGGAAATGCAGATATGCTTTCTAGGTCCTCAGTGGGCAAGGGAAGGGCTACTCTGAACCCAGGGCCCGGCCAGGTGATGCTGGGGATTGAGTCTGCGGCTCCTGCAGCAAAGGCCTGCGCTCCACCCCTTGGAGCGCTCTCCCTAGCTTTGTCTTATGCGGTGCCAGGGCCTGAATCCAGGACCTCACACCTGCAATTCAGGCGCTCTGCTGCCGAGCTATATCCGTGGCACTTCCTACTAGTTCATTTTTAAAATCAGTAAAATTTAAAGGCTTTGTATCCCACCTTCCTCTCCAGCTATTTATCACCTCGCCCTACTCACAATCCGGCTTCTTGAAATAGCTGTCGCCACTTCCTTAGCTCCCGTGCCAACAGAACCTTTTCTGAGGGAGGGGAGTAGAAGCCCGCAGTGGAGGGGAGCGAGGCAGAATGAAATCAGCGACTATGCACCAATCTCTCCCCTTGCAATCTCTTCTGCCCAAACAAAGCGCCCATGGGAGAGAGAACCCCCGAACCAGCATCCCACCCTCGCTCAGCCGTGCCTGTTCCCAGTTTGTTCTCCTGGGGCGGGGCATCTGACTAGCTCATACCTGTCCGTCAAGCCAGAGAGCCGTGATGAAGGGCAATGTCACTCCTTCAGCACAGGCCCCCAAGCTCAGCCCCAGGGCTGACTCCCTCTGGCCCGCGGGCTGGAGCAGGCCAAGATACTCAGTGAAGATCTGCACGGAGCCCGAGTTGAAGGCTCTGAGGATATGAAATGCTGAGAACTTGGGGGCTGGGGTTGCGGGGGAGAAGATTCACACATGGGAAGGCTCAGAGCAGAAGGCAACAGGCAAATGAGGTAGGGCTGCCTGCTGGACCTCCCCACGCTGGCTCTCTACCTCAAGGCCTGACTAAGTGTGGTGAGGCTTTCCCCACCTCTCTTGCTCTCCGGGGGTCTGTCACTATTCCCCCCCACCCCATGTGCCCCTCAAGGCTCTGGGCATTGCACTGTGTGCAGTGCCATGGGATGTCAAGGAGAGCACGCTCACCCCAGCCCAGCTCTCAACAGCTAAACCCCTCCTGCTTGGTTTAAGTACCCCCACAACATGCCAATACTAGGTACCACCTAGGGTGAGCCCAAAGGGACCTATCCCTCAGGCTTTCCCAGGGCCGGGATGGCCAGGTTGCTTACCCGCAGATGGCCTTGTGGCCTGTGGAGTCCCACAGCCCCGGTCTCTCCTCAGTCTACGGCCCATGGCCCGGCTTGTGCCCTTCACCCCCCCTCCTACGGTCCCAGCCCCAATGGGATGACTCAGAGGACAAAGGGACAGACTAGAAGTCAGGGCCTGGAGAGATAGCACAGGAATTAAGGTGTTTGCCTTGTACACAGGTGACACAGGTTTGATTCCCCAGCATCCCTTATGGTCCCCAGAGTACCATCAGGGGCCAGGTGTGTTTCCCCTGTCCCTAACCACATCCCAAAAAAGTACAGGAGAAACCAGTGGGGAAAGTGAGGAAGATGTCTGAGAGATGAGGGACTGTGTCTTTAGGGCAGGAAAGAGTATGTTTGTCAGCTCAGACACTAAAAAATATTATACTTATCTATCTCACCCTCTCTGCCCTGATGCTATCTGAGCCTTAAGGTGAGCCCTCATACTGGTTATCTGGGAGCCTGAGCACAACAGCAGCTAACTAGGTGTGAGAGATGGAACCAGAATTCAGATCTAAGCAGCTGGCTTTGTTCTGAGCCACACCCAGCCATGCTCAGGATTTACTCCCAGCTCGCCATCAGAGATCACTCCTGGCACTGGCTGGGGGTGCGGACCGCCGAGAGTACCAAGGATCAAACCTGGGTGCACTGCAGGCAAACTCCACAACCGCTATACTATGGGGGGGAGACCAAGCCTACACTCTCATCTCCCATAACAGAGGTTAGCAATGGAGAAAAAGGTCTGGCCTGGCAGAACCCGCACACCAAGTCAAAGCAAGGGGCAGAATCACCCAAGACCCCAAATATGTGTTCGGGTTATTGCCTGAGCCTCCCAGCCTCTCAGCCTGTGGTCCATAGGGGTGAAGCGGTTAAGGGGTGCACGAGGCGGGGGCACCCTCTCCCTTCGCCCTAGTGCCCGCGCTGGCGGAGCAGAGGCACAGCACACACCTAGAGAACCTTTATTTCTGCGTCCCCTCCGGCAGGAGACACCAGAGGCCCAGGAGGTGGGTCCAGAAGCTGCCCTAAAGCAACCCAGAGGCGGGGAGCCCCGTGCGTCTCTACAGGGTGGTCGAATGGGATCTCCCCCACTTCTAGGGGGTCGACTGATGCGGGGCGTGGGGTGGGGGAGCAGTCACTGAGGCTTGTCACGAAGACATGGCAGTCAGTCCTTGGCACTGGCGGCGGTGGTGGTGGGGGCCTCGGGGCCGCAGATCTCGAGCTCTTCTTCTGGGGGGCCGCGGTGCTCCGCTGGGGGTGGCGCCCAGGCCAGGCGGTGCCCCCGGGGGCTGGTAGCCACACTCGTTCGGATCCAGCGGGTCCCGGCTCAGCAGCACCCACACGGCGGGCACGTGGCGGCGCACGGTGAGGGGGTCGAGGCCCGTGTCCGGCGCGGCGGGCACCCAGCTGTCCTCGGTCTGCAGGAAGCGCAGCTTGGTGAGCTGGTGCAGGCCCGGCACGCGGCGCTTGACGATCTCGGCGCAGCTCACGGCCTTGCCCGCCGCGCGGCCCGAGCCCGAGAAGACCACGTGCCGCGCGCTGCCCGCCTCCAGCCGGCCCAGCGCCAGCCCCAGCAGGTTCCGGATCTTGCTGCCGTCGCGCACCCGCATCTCCAGCGTGTCGGGGGGCAGCTGCGCCAGCGGGCAGGGCGCCGGCAGCTCCACGGAGCCGGCCTTGCGGTAGTGCTCCATGCTCGGGGCGCGCTGCGGGGAGGGCGGGCGCGGTGAGCGCGGGGCCGGGGTGGGGGGCGCCCCCGCCCACTCCCACCCCCACCCCAAGCGCGCGCGGGTCCCGCTCCCGGAGGCCGCGGCCCGGCCCCGCGCCCCCCAACCAACCCCCCTTCTCCCCGCAGCGGGGTGCCGAGCGGCCGGCCGGCACCCCGACCTCCCCAGGGCCCACCCCAGCCGCCGAGGACCCCCCACCCCACGCACGGGCGCCGAGTTCCGGCTCTCACCGCCACCGCGGCCGCGCACGCCTCCGAGCTCGAGCGGGAGCCAAGATGGCGCGGGCTCCGGGAGCGCGCACGCAGGGACCTCGGGGCCGCGCACGTCGGGGCGGGCCGGGAGCGCGCCGGATCGGAACAGGCTGGAAACGCGCCGGGGTCGCGCACGGTGGGGCGGGTTGGGGCCGCGCACGTCGAGGCGGGAGCGCGCCGGGATCACGGAACCGCGCACAATGGGGCGGGGCGGGCTGGGAGCGCGCCGGGGCCGCGCACGTCGGGACGGGGCGGGGGCTGGTGGACCCCCCGGCGGCGCAGCGCAGCTCAGCGCTGGCGGCTGGGGAACCCCGAGTCTCACGAGCGTGCTCGCGGAAGCAGGAACCGGCCGCGCGCGGCCCGTCGCGGAGCACCCCCACTCCCAGATGACCGCAGGAGCGAAGCCCTCCACACTCCCCACCCCCCGTCCCGTCTGCACTGGGTGGCTGCTGCGCGAGCAAGCGTCTCTCGGTGACCGAGTGCCGAGCTCCGATTTCCTGTTGGGGATGCCGAGGGCCCACGGCGAACTTTGGACGCACCTTCCCCCCGACCCCCACCCCGAGTCCCCAACCCCGATGGGACCCGGGTGTCCAACCCAGCCTAGCATGCTGCTTGGTGTATGCCAGACGCTCAATATTTGTCGAATGATCTGCTGAAATGAGCCCGCGAGATGGCAGTGGGGGGGCTATGGGTGCGGCTGGGAGGCGTTTCCGAGGACAGCTGGCGCGGGTTCGGACGCGGGCGGAGGGCAGGCTGGTCAGGGACCCGGGGTCTGCAGTAACCCGTTGCTGGAGGATCGGCTGCGGGACGGGGAGCGCCCTCGCTCTCGGACACCACCAGGGGGCAGCAAACACTAGGCGGCGAGACGTGCTCAGCTCGGTCTCCCGCTTCCAGAACCTAAAATCCGCCCCCCCCCCCCCCCCACCTCTCACCTACCCCTTTCTTGGCTAATAGTACCTGTAGCCGCGCTTCTCTGTGCCTTCTTGCCTTGGCCTTCAAGGGCCCCAAGATCACCCTTTAAGGTGGTCTTTCCCCCCTTTTCCCCCTCCTCTCCTCCCTTCCTCTTCATCCTCACCTCCATCCCCTCTTCCCCGCTCCTCTTTCTCCCTCCCTCTCTTTTCTTGTCAGAGCCGGCGATGCTCAGGGCGTGCTCCTGGCACTGTGCTCAGGGCTGGAATCCCTGTAGACCCCTTGCACGGCTAGACTCTCTTGCCTGGCCCCTCTCTCCCATGCGCACCCAGGCGGGGCTCCCCTTCTCCTGGACTGTCTGTCCTGTACTGAGATCCTGTGTCATGGGCACACTGTCCTTCCCTGGCATCTAACAGTCTGGGGGTCCTTGGTACCCAGCACAGGTGGCTGCCCTCCTCACATGCCCCGCCCCAGCAGGAAGCCAGCACGTCCCTCCGGCCCTCTGTATCTTTATTGTCACTGGAGTCAGGCTCTGGTCCGGGAGCAGAGAACCGGAACAGTAACACTAATGTCCAGCTGCCAAAGCTCTGACACAGACCTCCCCCTGCAAACCCCCACTCTGCCGCTGCTGTGGCTGGGGGGCCATGAATCACTCCCGAGCAGCCTCAGGCTCCGCTAGGGCGGGCTGCAGCCTTCACTCCTCCGCAGGCTTCACGTGCTTGGCGGCCTCCAGCTGGCAGAGGAGCTCATCCCACTGCACGAACTGCTTGGAGAGCAGCAGCGTCTGACTGCAAGTCAAGGTGAGAACAGAAGGGGGGGGATCCGACCTGCACCCAGACCTGGGGGGGGGGAGGGCACGCTGGTGGGAAGGGGATGAGGTGGACCCGGGAGGGAGGACAGGGCCCTGGACCTTTCGGGCCAGGGAGCAGAAAGGATACAGTCTTGTTGTATTCCTCCAGGAGAGCCTTCGCCTCCTCGGTGAGCTCTACACACTGATCCTGCAGGCAAGACCCCCATGACAGGAGCTGGTCAATGACGTCAGGGCCCCTCACTCCCCACAGGGGCTGGAAGCCCAAGCACATGGCTCAGGGGTCTCCAAGGTACGATCAAAGGATGATAAAAGGAGAGACCACATACATATATGGAATATATGTATATATCATGGTCACGGTCCTCCCGTGATTTGCTCAATTTGCTCAAATCATCGATTTGCTCAAGTGGGCCCAGTAACGTCTCCATCGTGAGACTTGTTGTTACTGTGTTTGGCATATCGAATACATCACGGGGAGCTTGCCAGGCTCTGCCGTGCAGGCAAGATACTCGGTAGCTAGCCGGGCTCTCCGAGAGGGGTGGAGGAATCGAACCCGGCTCAGCCGGGCCGGCCATGCACAAGGCAAACACTCTACCGCTGTGCTATCGCTCCAGCCCCACATACATACATACATATATATATATATATATATATATATATATATATGGGCCATATCCAACAACCCTCAGGGTTTACTCCTGGAATAACTCCTGGTGGTGCTTGGGGGCCATATGGGGTGCGGGGGATTGAACCTGTATTGGCCATGTGCAAGGCAAGTGCCTCATCGCTCTGGCCCTGAGAGCGTCCACACATCTAAGGAAACATTCCTGCTAGTGTGCTTCCTCTCCCTCATTGCCTGCTCCCCACCACCACTGTCCCCAATTCCTTAATTTTAAAAAATCGGTGGGGGGGAGCTGAGATAATATAGCAGGTAGGGTGCTTGCCTTTCACGTGGCCAGTCTGGGTTTGGTCCCCAGCACCCCATATGGTTTCTCCCAAACTGCTAGGCATGATTCCTGAATGCCAAGCCAGGAGTAAGCCCTGAGTACCCACGTTGTGTTCCCCTCCCTCTCCCCCCCAAAAATCCCAACATTCTTTTAATCCGGGGGGTTGGGCAGGCAATACCTGCTGGTGGTCACGGGACCATGCAGTGCTGGGCACACAAGCCAGAGATCTCACATAGGAAGTGTGAAGCTCCCGCCCTGTGAGCTCTCCCCGTGGCCCTCCCTACTTCTATGTATATAAGATTCTGATTTTTATTTTCCTTTTAACAAGGCTGAATTTAGTATGGAAATAAAATAGATACTCAACAGCACACATATTGAGTATATCAAAGAGGGAGTGGACTTGAAAGAAAGCTCGACAGGCTGAGAGCTTTGCATGTGGGAAGCTAGGGTTCCATCCCTGATCACTGCAGGACATGGTGCCCTGTGCACAGCCGGGAGGAACCCCCCATTGGGCCAAACCTCTACCCGCAACAACAACAACAACAACAACAAAACATGCCGGAGAGAAGATAAAGAAGGAACAACAGAGACTAAACCTGGCTTACCCTAAGCCAATTTATGAACCCCTATTTCTAACCCTCTTTGAACTTGACAGAAGAGGCTGACAACAGTGAAAAAGCAAAACAAAACAAAAAACAATACTCAAGGACACACCATCCCCAGGAACTCTTGGGAACTGCCCAGCATTAGCCTTCAGATAGTGCGGAGCAGCCCCAGGCTGGGAGGCGGGAGGCCCAAGCAGGGCAAGTGGACAGTAGAGGGTGCGAAGGAGCCCAGAGTGGACACCTGGGGCGCCTGAAGCACCTTCCCCAGGACCAGGCAGGGACTGGCTCTTCACCCCACCCCCAGTCGTCTCCCTTCCCTCACCTGCTGCTGGATGTGGATCTGGGCCAGGCGCTGCAGGCGGGCGGCGTGCTCAGGAACGGCTGTAAAACAACGCTTGCTGCCGAGGCGGCCGGGGCCTTCCCTCGGGACTGCTCGATAGTCTATTAGGTCTTCGGCAGGATTAGAGTATTGAGTGGAGAAGCCAAACAAACGGCAGGCTTCATCGACCGCCGCAGCCTGGAGCGGCAGTGGGGCTCCCTGTTCAGCCCGCCTCACTCGAGGGCCCACAGGGCTGGGGTGCAAATGGGCTCCGAGGAGAGGGCCCCACCGAGGGGTCCAGCTGCCCCGGGCCCCATCACAGCGCTGTCAGCTACCCCGGGATGTGTGCCTTCCCCTCTCAGGCCCCTGGGACCACGTGTGCTGGGAGCAGGGGGCCTGCGGGCAAGTGGAGGCAGACAGCCCCCTCCCTAAACTGGGCCACCAGCAGCCCAACGCCTCCCAGGACCTGGGCCACTGTGCTGGGCTGCAGCTTCGGGCTATTGGATGCTCAGCAGGTAGTTGATCATGGGTGGGAAAAACACCTCCGGAGACAGACAAGATGGATATCTGGATTCAATGAAATCCACTGCCTGTTTGTCAAAACTTGGGACGAGGCGGCTCTCGGCAATGCCGCAGGGGGAATGCGTACCGGCCTGGGCACACTCCCCGGCTGACCTCTAGCCTCTGTGGCAGCCCGAGGCACAGAGGCAGAAGGAGGTGGAGGCAGAAGAACCCGCAGAGTTGGGGGCTGCAGGGTCCTTGGCCCCCCACGACCTGCGGCTCTGAAACCGAGCTCTCCATTCTTGCACTGGCATCCTGGTACAGAGGGCAGGGAAGCCCTGCCCTCCCAGTGAGGAAGCCCTGCCCACCCCCCACCGCCAAGCAGAGAGGGGAGCTTCTCTGCTCCACCGCCCCAGAGAGGTACCTTTGAGGTGTTCGCTGTCCAGCAAGGGCACCATCGCCTCCACCTGCTCCAGGAGCGCAACTTGGGCGAGGATGAACTGCTCCTCTGGGGCACAAACAAACAAGGGCACACGTGAGGCACCCACACTGCTGCTTTCGGCAGTGCAGCCGGGGAGCCCAAGGGATGGCGGGCAAGAGGCTGGGGCTGGCGCGGTGGGGCAGCCCAGTGCTCCCTTCTCTAGGGGCACATTCACACGTTCAGCCCCTCCCATGCCCCGCAAGAGGCCTCTGATCTGACCCATGTCACATCTAGAGATCGAGGAGCCTCTCAGTGTTTCCAAATCCCACCTTTCTCCAAACTCTTAACTCCAAGGCCTCTCCCTCTGGCAACAGAAATCAGTGAGCCCCTGCCTAGGCTCGGGAGACAATCTGATGCACACGAACTGGGTCCCCACACCCCAGGAGGGCTCAGGGAAAACAGGAGCCAAATGGCAACCTGCTGGCAGACAAAGACAAGGAAGTGGTCCCGGACAATCTGGGCAGAGTGCAGAATCAGAGCAGGTGGCTGTGCATGGTGGGGGGCACAACACATATACACATACACACACGCACACACACACACACACACACACACACACACACACACACACCCCTCTCCCCACACACACATGGTGACTGAAGTGGAGTGCAAAGGACTTTCAAGAAAGGAGAACTGTTTTTCTCCTCAGTCACACCACTGCCATGTGTGTGATCAGTCCTGTCTATGTGTGAGCTCCCACCATGATGCTGAGCATGAGAGAAAGAACTGTCAGGGGCAGTCTGAAGGGATGCGTGCATGGCATGCAGCGGAGGAAGAGAATCTGTGAATAGAGCTGCAGCAGCAAGAAGAACCCAGGGAGCGGGTGGACAGGAGAAAGGTCTGGGCAATGGGAGAAGCGAGGGCTTTCTCCCAGCACACGGAGACCCTGAGGTTCCAAAGCAGACATTGTGGAAATGTGTTCTGGGAAGAGGATACTGCATCCCATGCAAGAAGGGAAAGTCCGGAGTGATAAGAGACGCTGGGAGACTGCAAATGTTCTGTGCAAGAGGCCAAAGGCGGGGGCCACGGCCACAGCAGGGGCCAGAGAGGCAAGACTTGAGCCAGAATGGAAGGCCTGCTTGACATGGTGCCTGAGTGGCAGCAACCAGGTCCTTTGATGGCTCTCTAACAGGCGTTGCCCCATCCTCATTGGATCTCTGTCTCCTCCTGAGACTGGCTCTCACTGGGTGACAAGTTCAGCCTGCCCTGCTGGCTGAGCCCAGGAGGGCAGGAGCATTCTACATCTCCACTGTAAACCTCACACTTAGGATAGTCTGGCTTACAAATATCATTCAGGGCTGGAGCGATAGCAGGTAAGGCGCTGGCTTTGCACATGGCCGGCCCAAGTTTGATCCCCGGCAGCCCATGTTCCTGAGTACAGAGCCAGGAGTAAACCCTGAGCATCTCTAGGTGTGGCCCCAAAACCAAACCAAACCAAAACAAAAATCACTCAGCATCTATGGACTCACTGGGCAGACGCATTTGCCTGGCACAGCTGACCTACCAGGGCCAGACACTGCCAAGGCCATCATCACGCCCGGAACTGTGAAATTCCAGCACCTCATGTTAGATGCTGAAACTCCTCGTGCCAGCACTCTGCCCAAAATGAGCACAATGTTCTCTGCCCCCGCCTTTTCCTAGAAGCTCCTGCTGAGGGAGAAGTGAGGAAGGCTCTGCAGGAACACCTGGGGGTCTCTGGTGGACACGAGAGTAGCTTCCCGCTGCAGCTGGCTCAGCGGGTATACAGCACCCACTGCCTGCCGAGGACCACTGGACGAGCCAGAGCTCAGCCATTCCACAGGACAGCTTTCAGGGCTGTGTCCTGGAGAAGAACCCGCAGAGATGCCAACTCCGTGCCCCACAGACTCCCCTCCCCCAACCACGCCCCTCGATTCCCACACCCCCGTTGTCCAGAATACCTGCTAAGATGAACTGCAGCTTAGAGGCGTCTGGGACGGCGATGCGGTCCATGTACTCGGGGTCCAGGTACTTGATCAGGTCTTCAACTAGAAAATGGCCAGATGAGAACTACTACCGGAGAGTGGGGCTCCGTCTCACGAGTGTATGAGGGGCAGGGTTGCCACTAGGGTGAGGCTGTGAGTGAGCAGCTGGCACCCTCAGTGCCCATCAGCAGACCTCTGCCAGGCCCCTTCCACAAACCACCCGTCTCTCCACTCTGATTCCCTGCTGGTCAGCCATGAACTTCAGAGCGAGGAACAGGCGTGTAGCACAGTCACTGACCTACTTCACCAAGGAGGAAGGACTCTTCCCCTCGGTGCCACAGCACTACTGGAGCATTACCTGCTTTGGAGTTAACAGAGCAGCTGCTGCCATAACCAAAGTGGAATAAACGAGCCAAGACAGGGATTCTCAGCACCCAATTTCTTTCTGCCTCTCAGCCTTGTCTTTGTGGTAGGCGGGGGTGTGGATCGCGCCTAGAACTCTGAATGCCAGCCAGAGATGCTTGGGGGCTACTCCCAGTTCTGTTCTTGGGGATGACTCCCAGCAGTATCTAAGGGGCCATGTGGTACGAAGGATGGAACTGGGATCGGCCACATGCAAGACAGTGTCTTAACCCCTGTACTCTCTCTCCACCCCCTGACCTTGCCTTTAGAAACTCCATAGCCCTCCCTCCTGCACTAAGGGGCCTTGCAGCCAGAGATCTGGACCATAATTTAGACCATTTCCATGGGCTTGGAGTTGCACACCCCAATTCATCCCCAATTCACCATTTCAGTAAGGCACCTTCACATTCTATCCCCAACAGGAGATTCCAGTGACCTGCAGGGCTAAAGGGCTAGGATGAGATTCCAGGGAAGGAGGCTGGCAGGGGAAGAAGGGCGGGCAGGCGATAGTAGGAAGTACTTACTCTTTTTGTACAGAATCTTCACTCTCTCCCTCTTGCTGGCAATGTTTCCCAAAGCCACCTGCACCTTGACCAGGCCATCAGCAACCTAAATGCGGGGTGGAAGTTAAATCAAGGTTCACCACCTCGCTCAAGACCTAAAGAAATTAAAACATTCCTCAGAATCCCTAACCTCTGGGCCCTAGTGCGTGTGCTCCCCCCCCCTCCCCCCCAGGAATTAAACATTGATCCATGTTGACTGCATGCAAGGCATGGGACCTACCTACTATACTATGTCTGGCCCCCATTTGTTTGTTTTTTGGGTTTTTTTGTGGGTCATACTTGGATATGCTCAGGGCTTACTCCTGGCCCATCAGAACTGATCTGGTGGACCATATGGGGTGCCAGAAATCCAACCAAGGTCAACTGCATACAAGGCACACAGGATCTATCCCACCACACTACCTCTTCAGTTTCCCTTCTTTTCTATTAAAGGATTGGAGACACAGGTCTGGGGAGATATCTCAAAGAGCTACTGCATGCGCTGTGGCTGCAAGAGGAAAAGGTTTTACCCACTGCACCACATAGTCACCTGAGTACCACCAGGAATGACCCCTGAGACCAAACTAGAAATACAACCTCTGAGCAGTACTGGGTGTGGCTCAAACTAATAAGGGATAGAAGATGCAACCTCACTTTCTGAGAACTGTCAATGTGAAAATGGGATTCGTCGATTGCCTCGAGCAGGCCCCAGTAACGTCTCCTTCATCCTAGCCCTGAGATTATATTCGAGGCTCTTTTGGAGAATGAGACCCATCATTGTTACTGGTATTTGGCATATTGGGTACGCCACGGGGAGTTTGCCAGACTCTGCCGTGTGGGCAGGCTACATTCGGTAGCCTGCCAGTTTGTCAAAGTAGGAATGAGATGTCATAATAAGATGTCGCGCAGCTGCGAATGCTGACAATATTTTCTAATCTCTGTTGAATTCACTAACTCTCTGGGGATTGCTACAGAAATACAAATAGAGTTCATCTTTTCACCCGCAAACGTGAGGCTCTTACTTATAAAATCATTACAAAGACTTTCTCAAAACAGTAACTTTTAGATGGTCCATTCATGAATTAAAGAGTAGATGCTCTTTTGTAAGACATACAAGAGTCAACATTATTGTGATTCACATAGACTGTGAAAATGGGATGCCCTTCCATTTCTCGGGCAATTGCAAGTCTGACCAGGAAGTTAAGTAACTATTTTAGAGTTTACGGGGACACTTGCATATACATTACCTGATTCCTTTATCTCTGGTTAAACCTACCAAAGCATGAAGGCAAAGAGTGAGCGATTCAAATATTATAGGGTCAAGAGGAACATGCTATGGAAATGCATGATCTCGCCCAGAGTTTTAGGTTAGGGGAAGCTTTAGACTTTAGGGGAGGAATGCCAATATTTAAGGGGAAGCACAATAAAAACAGCAGCAGCAGCGGCCAGAGAGGGTGGAGGAACATCAGGAGGACTCCCATCATATACGTCCAAGGGTGAGAATGTTGCCAGAAATCATTTCTCAAAATGAGGCACATATTGGGGCCTGAGGGGTAGTACAGCAGGTAAGACGCTTGCCTTGCTGGCTGCCGACCAGGTTCAATTCCTGCTATGATCCCCGTGCCCACCCTCCGCACCAGCCCCACCAGAATTATAGCTGAGCACAGAACCAAGAGTAAGAACCTTGAGCACCAATGGGTGTGGCCTCAAAACCACACACACACACACACACACACACACACACACACAAAACCATACGGCGCTCTGCAGAGCAATGGTTAACAGCGGGTAGGGGGGCTGACCTGGGTTAGCTCCCCGGCACCCCATAGGGTCCCCTGACCCCGTCCAGGAGCGACCTCTGGGCACAGAGCCGGGCGTAAGCCCTGAGCACCACCAGGTGTGGCACCACATAAATAGAAAATAGAAAATTCTTGGCAGTACAATCCTCGGCGAGGATCTCCCCAGGTCTCCCCAGCCCGCCCCCGGCGACGTCCAGGGCGGGTTCCAGCCTCCCGGCCACCACCCTTCATAGGGCATCTCGGCCCTTTGCTGTTTCAGAGGCAGGGCGGCGGGGGCTGGGGTCGGAGCGGCTGTCTGAAAAATCGGGGACGCCCCCCCACTTGCTCTGCCGCAGAACACGTCGCTCACCTTCCGCGAGCCGCGCGAGTGGCCCGGCCCGTACACCCAGCGCTCCAGCTCTTCCACCCGGGCCTGCAGCCGCTGCACATCGGTCACGGCCGCCATCGCTACAGCCGCCCCACCTCCAGCCACCAGGGCGGGGCCATGGGTGGGACTTCCGCCCGGGGAGGGACGGCTGGCCAATCCGAACGCTCAGATGGCCCTAGAGACGGAAGCGACTCTACGATTTGGACTTTCCGTGCCGGAAGTTACCCTACGGGACCAGCGAAAGGTGTCAAAAGCTGTGCGGTTACCTAGGCAACGACTAACCTGTCAGCCCTCCCTGAGATTCCAGCTGCAGTCTGTCACAACCTTTGCGAGGGGACGGGGACGGAGAGATAGTACAGTGGCGCGCTTGCCATGCACGCGACCGATTCCGCAGCCTCATATATGGACCCTCTGAAGTCCCAAAAGTGATCCCTGAGTATCAGGGGTAGCCCAAAATCCAGAAAAAGGGAAAAAGAAAAAAGGCAATCTTTGCAAGTAGGAAAGGTAGCACAGGGGTTAAGCTGCTTGTCTTGCACGCAGCTTACCCTGGTTCGAGTCCTGCACTGCTAGGAGTGATCCCTAAGTACTATCAGATTTTCATTTCATTTCATTTCATCATCCTGTTAATCGTCGATTGCCTCGAGCAGGCCCCAGTAACATCTCTTTCATCCTAGCCCTGAGATTGTATTCACGGCTCTTTAGGAGAATGAGACCCATCATTGTTACTGGTATTTGGCATATTTGGTACGCCACGGGGAGTTTGCCAGACTCTTCCCTGTAAGTACTATCAGATATAGATAAAAATATTTTTGCCTCCCCCACTCCCTGATCTTTGTCTTTTTTCTTTCTTTGCCTTTTCCCCTTCTAATTGCAGGATACCAAAGAGGTTTCCACATCCCCTTTCTGAGATTGCACATATAAGTAGGCCCATTACTCCGGGATAGATCCATCTCCCTCGATTAGTATGCATACCTGTAAACTCCTAATCCTGTGGACTCATCTATGGCTCAAGAGATTATTTCGCCAAGGCTAAAATAACATAACTGGAATATGAATTTATATGGTCCAATTCATGAGCTGGATCTCTTTTCTGGAACTTTTGCTGTTCTGTCTTCCCTGGCCCAGTGTCATCTGTGTGTACCACATAATTTTTCCCCAACCCCTAGACCCAAACAAGAAGATGAAGCACCAGAAAGGGAAGGATTGCAACTTTATTGTCCAGATGTGACTTGAGGGGTATCTCCCTCATAACACCCCAGCCCAAGCCTGGAGCTGGCCCCTGAAGAGAAGCAGTTCTGAATCAAAGAGGTAGCATCCAAGAGATGACACTGCATAGGGGAGCACATGAAATGATGGCAGCTACTGAGCACAGAGCTCTTTGGCAGACCTACTGAAGTCGGCCAGGGAGGAGGTATTCTCCCTCTACAATGAGGTAGATGTGACATTAAAATTCTTTGGCTTCAAGTGCACATGGCATGGGGGAGTTGGGGGTAAGGAACCACCCAGGGCTGAGTTCTAGAGTGGGCACCATGGAAGAATCAATGTGTGGGAGCCACTACCTCCCCAATCAGGAAGGAGGCTGGTATTCTTGATTCCACGTGGGACCTCTCAGAGTGAGGTGCTGGAAGGAGGCCCGGTAGGGGGTGGTGGTGCAGGGTTGGTTGTGCCAGCTTGAGAAGCTGGCACAGGTTGGCGGCGGGCAAAAAGAACACCTGACAAAGAGGTGAGGCGATAGTAGAGGGCAAACATTAGCAAGAGAGGGTGGGCCATGGAAACAGAAGAAACAAAAGTCAGTTTCTGATGCTCAAGAACACATGCTGTAACCCACATGCATATAACACATACTGACAACAAACCAGTAAGGGCAAAACCCTGAGGTTAATAAGATTCCTTGAACAGGTAAACAAAAACTTTCTTTTTTTTGGGGGGGGGGGCTCACACCCAGCATTGCTCAGGCATTATTCCTAGCTCTGCACTCAGGAATCACTCCTGGCGGTGCCGGGGGACCATAAGGAAAGCCAGGGACCAAACCTGGGTTGGGCACATGCAAGGCAAATGCCCCCCACCCCACTGTACTATCTCTCTGGCCCCAATTATTTCTACTCATATGTAGGACCATGACAAGGCAGACATGCCATGGTGCACATGCTAGAGAAGTCATGCTTTGGACTGCATGCCATGGAGACCTCCCTTTTGGCCCATGCCAGTGTAGCAGCCCAAGTTACCCATGCAGGTTTGGATATCTCTGAACCTCATGCTAGTAGAGCAAATCTAAAATCGCCATGCCAGTGTAAATACCCCTGACCTCATGCCATTGTAGACAGCCTGCAGTGCCCCTACCAGTGTAGACCACCCCGTTGATCTCTAGGGCCATGTTGATACTGCTGATACCACTGCCTGCCAGACTGAGAGGCCCATCCAGTCGCTCCTCTGTCAGGAGGGGAACAGACAAGTCACATTTTAGGAAATCAGACTTCAGAATTTAAAGGAAGCACACCCTTCCAACCTGGGGCTATCCCCATTTTTCACCTCAGTCTCACACGTACAGTTATATAGCTATCTCCCAGGACTCTGCCTGCCCCACTTCCATCGGATAATAGAGGCAAGCTCCCTCAGTGCGCAGGCCCAGAGCCTGCTCAGCAATGAGTCCTCACCCCTCAGGGGAACCTTGCCACGAGGAAGGAAACCAGGACGAGGTGGGTCCATGGGCCCCATCAGCACAGCCCTCTTCTCTGGGGGTTCCTCTGGTGCCAACTTCTCTCGGGCAGGTCCCAAGGTCAGGCCCACGGGCAGTGTCAGCCGAGGGGTTGGAATTCCACTTTCCTCTGAAAGAATATGTTATTCAGCTCCTCTGGTCCAACAGCCAGGCTTGGGACCAAGGGTGTTCCCAACCACCAAGTTCCATCTCCCCGGCTACCCAGATACTCAGCAGAGATATTCTGAGGCTGGAATGCCCATGGGGTCAATATGTGAGTCTAGGCAGGTCCAAGACAACTTGGGGGATTTCCCCCTGGCAGTTAAATCCATTAGGTCTCAGGAGGCACAAACCACATGCAAACAGAAGCCCTTGGTAGACAAGGTGTGGAGCAGAGTCGCTCTGGATAAAGGACCTTAAACTTTAGCCCCCCCCCCCCCACCACCACCAGACAGCCACCCAGAGCTCCACGACTTCCACCACTGAATGAAATCCTAAGACCACCCCCACTCCCACCCCCCAAACCTTGGGGCACGGCGAATTCCAGCGTCCTGATATTCCTTACACCCAGAACATTCTCCTGTCCTCTTTCTCTCGGTGCCCGTCCCGCCACCACCCCCAGGTCTCGGAGATTCCCCAAACCTCAGCCCCTTTCCCCCTCACACCTTTCTTGATGGGGCTCGGGCTCAGCTGCGCGCAGGCGTGCACCGGCAGGCCGGAGGCGGAGCAGTGGGCGAGGCGCGGGCCGGGCGCGGGGGCGGGCGGGGCGGAGCCGGGCCCGGGGCCCGGGGCGGGGCCCGCAGCGCCCCGAGGGGGCGGCCCCGCCAGTCCGAAGAGCGGCGCGGCGGTGTAAGCCTGACGGCGGCCCTCGCGCCGGTTGCTGTCGATCGCGGCTTGGAGCTCCCCTGGGGAGCTGAGCGCGCGGGTCTCGCACTCGTACGGGTACAGGTACTTCATGTACCTAGAGGCAGACGCGGGGGTGGGGCGGGAGGCTGGCCCACCGGTCTCATCATCTCATCAAACTTCCTACCTGGGTGCCTTCCTCGGGAATCCCGCGCCCCGCACCCCCGCAGCCCGCGACCCCCTCTGCGCCCCGCGCCCCGCGCCGCGCCCCTGCGCCCCTGCACAGCTCTGCGTTCCGCATCGCGCTCTGCGCCCCGGCGCCCCGGTTCCCGCTCTGCGCCCCGCGCGCGGTCTCACTGGGTGCGTAGAGTGAAGGCGGCCGACGTGATGGTGGTGGGCAGGCTGAGGCCTCGCGTGACCTCTCGCCACACCTTGCGGTTGATGACTTCCACTAAGCCGCCCTTGGCTGTCACCAGACGAAAGAGTGCGTACAGGTCCAGCACCTGCTTCGCCATGATGGGCACACGGTTCACTGGGGTGCCTGGTCCCGGGTGGGCAGAGAGTCAGGACTCGAAGGTCCGGTCCATAGGGGTCGGGCATGTGGCTCGGTGGTGGAGCGCACGCTTTGTAAGTGGAGGGTCCACCCCCTAGCACTGGGGGAAAAAATTGACTCTACGGACATCTCGGGGGTTTGACCAGTCTGTTGCAGGGTGGGGGTGGGGGGTAGGGGCGGGGGTGGTGGTGGTGAATGGACTGGTACTGGGCGGAACGTCCCGCAAGAAAAGCACTAGGGAATGGGATCACAGACAGCGCCCACAGATTCCCGCAAGACCGGCAGGAAGGACTAGAGGCTGCACTTGGGATGAGCAGACTTAGTAGTAAAGAACCAGATGGCAAATAGTTTAGGTTTTCCAAGCCAAAATGGTCTCCGTCGGTGCGAGTATACGTGGCCATTACTGTCTGAAAGCAATAGCGGGTATGGAGCCAGGGATGGAACCCAAAGCCTTCATTCAGGCTGGGCAAGTGGATGCCACTCCCAGTCCTGCCTTGAGAGGGTATTTAAAAGAATGGGTTTGTTATGCTCCAATAAGACTTTACTTCGAGACTCTGAAATTAGAACATCACTTATCCAGAATGTCATTAGTCTTTTATGTTTTGTTTTGGCGGCACATTTTGTGGTGCTCAGGATTTACTCCTAGCTCTGCACTAAGGAATCACTCCTGGCAGGACTCAGAGGATCATATGGGATGCTGGGGATCAAACCCAGGTTAGTCGTGTGCAAGGCAAGTGCCCTACCCGCTGTACTATGGCTCTGGCCCTGTCATTGATCTTTTAATTTTTTTGTAGTTTTGGGGACACATCAGCTTGTGCTCAGGGGATCATACTCCTGACTGTGCACTCAGGGGCCACTCCTGGTAGCGTTCAGGAGATCATATATGGTGCTGGGGATTGAATTTGGGTCACCACATGCAAGGGTACAAGGCAAACACTTGAACTTCTGTACTATCTCTCCAGTCCTTGGAACTTTTATTTAATTATTCAGTTTTAGGGCTATACCTAGAGGTGCTCAAGGTCTGTTCCTGGCTCTGAGCTCAGGAGTGTCATGCTCAGAGACCATATGTGGTACCAGAGAATTGAACAGCATCAATCACAGGCAAGGCAAGTGCTTTAGCTCCTGTTCTCTTAGGTCTCTGATCTTTTCATTTTTAACACTACTTAAAGATGTGAAAACTGGAGCTGGAGTGATAGCACAGCGGGTAGGGTGTTTGCCTTGCATGTGGCCGACCAGGGTTCAATTCCCAGCATCCCATATGGTCCCCTGAGCACTGCCAGGAGTAATTCCTGAGTGCAGAGCCAAGAGTTAGCCCCTGTGCATCGCCGGGTGTGCTCCCCCCCCAAAAAAGTGAAAACCATTCTTAGCTGGCAGGAGACTAGGTTTGGCCTGCCAGCTTTGGTTTGCTAACAGACAGAGGGTAGCAGACTTTCTAACATGTTGGAGCGGGGTTACCCTAAACAGCTGCTCCCGTTTGGCTGCTGAAGCCAGAGACCCGAGGAGGGTGGATGGGAAAAGCAGCCCCTCCTCGGCTCACCGACTCTGTGGCTGGCGCCACCCCCGCGGCCAGGCCTGACAAAGGGGCCTGTCTGAGCTGAGCGATGGGCCCCAGTTAATTCCTTACCGATCCCGTCCCCTTCCGCAGCCGCCTTTGGACCCGAACAATTAGCTGCGGCCTGATTAATGGGGGGAAATTATCGGCCCCGCGGGACCCCCTTCCCCCACAGAGGGAGAGGAGGGAGGCAGGGACCCGGAGGGAGGTAAAGCTCCTGGTCTAAGGTGGGGGTGGAGGGAGCACTGGGAGTCCCTCAGCTACTCTACCTCATCCCCCTTGGAAGGGAGGCTGGAGGAAGGAGCCCGCAGGAGACCAGGATGTCTCAGCATGGGTGAGACTCCCTAGGGAGTAGAGGACCTGGGGGTCCACTGGTACCACTGGTCAGGAAAGGAGCTGAAAGGAGAGCCTGGCCCAGGGTGAGGGCCAGAAAGACTCTGGCCTGCAGCTGCACTAAGAAGGGAGGGGCCGCAGTGCAGCCAGTTAATTAGCAGCTTATCTGGCCGAGCTCGGAGTGAGTTAATTAGCTTTGTAGAGAGAGATAATGAGTCAGTCTCCGGACCCATGAATCTGGGGAGAAGCCGAAGTGATGGACTGCAGCCCACCCTGATTCCCTCCTGGACCCTGGCATTCTCTTCCAGCAGATTCCTGGAAAGGAATTCCTCCCCCATGGTCCTGACCGTGTCCCCAGCCTACCTCCACCCCTACCTCTAGAAGTCCTTTTTTTAGTAAGATCCTAGCCTTTCCCGGTGGGATGTCCTTGCAGCAAGGGGAAACTGAGGATAAACAAGCCTGGAGGAAGGGCCAAAGAAAGAGGAGCAAGGCGTTCCCAGCCTTCCAGTCCTGGGAACTTCCCACCCCAGGCCAGCCCCCAAATACTGCCCCTCCCACTGTCCCATTGATCCTCCGCTCATTAACCTGCCAGTGGGCCGGCCACTAATTAATCCCCGGTGAAGGAGGGGGTCAGGGTCAGAGGTTAAAGACGCTATTGGGGGCCCAAAGGACAGGCACTGCAGAGATCACCCACCCTGGGGGAGCAAACCCTGGGAGTGTCCCTCAAATTGGAAGTGGGGGTCATTCCAGGGTCCTATCCCCGACATTACCTTACTTACCCCTCTTTTGCATGAAGCTAAACAGGTCATCCAGAAATTCCTTCCTCTTGGGATCTGCATCAAGCTCGTAGAGCTGGAGGAGGACTGAGGTCATTTTCCAGCTCTGCTGGCCCTGCCCTCCCCGGGCCCTACTCGAGTCTCCTTAGCAAGGTTTCTCAGCTGGAGAAGCGAGTGGACTCTGAAATGTGGACTGGCATCGGGGTCTCTCCCTACATGCAGGTAGGGGCATATTTTTCTAATTTACATCAAGACCATCTGTATCCAGTGATGCCCTGGACACCTCAAACCACCCATCTTGGGAGTGGGAAGAAAGGGTGCTGTGGGATGCAGCTTGCCCTCCAGCCGAGCACTGTGCCACAGGGCAGAAGTCAGGCCCCGCTGGTTTCCACATTGAAGAACCGAAAGATCGAAAGGCAACCAACCATTCATTCTCATTCATTCCTCCAAGGCTTTCTTGCTAGTCACATCCCTGTGTTCTAAGGCTGTGGGGGGGGGGGGGGAGGAGGGGGGAAGGAGTGCATGAGGGGCCAGAGAGACTCTAACACATCCCTTTGCTAGATGCTCAAGAAACGCCTGGAACCCCTAGTCTCTGTTCTGGTCTGATCTTCCAGGGACAGTGACCTGTCCAATAAAGAAGCTGCCATAGAGGCAGTGGCTTGGCACTAGCCAGGTCAAGCCTCCCACCTGATTCGCAGCACCAGGAACCTCACCTCAAACCAGTATCAGCTCCCAAACACCACCCAGGAAGAACAATCCCTAGACTAAGAGCCACTTACCCCAAAATAACAGTTCCTTAGCGGCACTTGCCGGTAGCCCTCCACCCCCACCCCCCAATGCATCCCTCAGAGTGGAAAAAAACATCACGAAGAACACAACTGGGAGATCTCCCTTTACAGCTGGACTCACACATCTAAGTCCTAAGTCTTGAATAGAGATCCACAACATTGTCTGTCTGTCCGTCTGTCTCTCTTTCCAAGTACTAATCCCCAGGATATGCCCAGGAGAAAGAGTTACTAGAGTGACACCTCTTCCAGAGAGTCTGAGCCTGAATAACACTCATCATTTGACACTAATGCCACAGAGTCTTGGTGCCCAGATCGATATTCCTGCAAGGTACCCCAGACCAACCCTTGGAGTTGAGAAGCTGAGGATCAGCCCTGAAGAATACCTTCCGAATGAGACCCCGGGCGGTCCCTAGGCAAACCTGCAAATGGATTCTGCTGACTTGGAGAAGCTCTGATTAAGGCCATGTGGATAACAGCCCTTTAGTTACTCTGCAGCTGGAGGGGCCCTCACAGACAGGGACTCCCCAGCTAGGAAAAGGATTGTTTGGGGGCAGGGGTGGGGTGGAGGGGAAGGACACGCAGGGGAGTGTGACAGCAAAGGGAAGAAAGGCAGGGTGCTATGAGCCTGCCACAGGATTGTCAAGCTCCATTTTGCTTTCCAAATTGGAAGTAAGCTGCCAGGGCATTTTCCCCACCCCCACCCCCACCCCACCGTGGCACATACATCAGTCCCTGAAATCTGACCTTGTAACTTGAGGTGTCCATGGTGGATTAGGATGGTTCTGCTGCGAGAATCCCCAACCTCCAGATCCCCCTCCTTCAGAGGAATCCTTATACCCTCCCACTGGCCCTGATAGCCTCAGGAGAGAGGCCCCCACCATCTCCTGCCCCTTCCGGATACTTGTGTGCTCTCCACATCTCTGGCGAGGTCTGTCTCATCTTCCTCCCTGCCACAGTCACCCCTGCAGCCTCCCTCCTCTCCTCTCTCCAAATCTCCCCCTACCTTTGCACCTTGCTGATGGCAGTGAGTGGGGGGCTGTGGATCACTCATCCCATGGCTCTGCTCTTGCCCGGAGAGACGGATGACGGATGATGGACTTTGACGGGCCCTACCTGCTTGAACTGCTCCTCGTAGGTCCATTCATGAGGCTGAGGTCCAGGGGTTTGGCTGCAAGGGGAGCTCGGGCCCTGGGCGCCTGGATGGCTCTCTTGGGCTTCCTCCTCTTCTGCCCCTGCTTCCTCTTCCTCTTCCTCCTCCTCTTGGCCATCCTCTTCTTCCTCAGTCCCCACCTCCCCCAAAGTCCCCTTGAGGACAGGCAGGCTCCGGGGACCGGGCATGGGAGGCTGAGGCGGCTGCGGTGGGAGCGGAGGGGCGAGGGGCGCCACCCCCTGGGCCAGACGGACGGCCTGCTGCCTCTGCAGCGCCTCCATTACGGCTTCCAGACGCAGGCCCCCCACTGGGGGTGCGCCAGGCACCGGGCGGGGCCCCGAGGGAAGGGCTGCCTGCGAGGGAGGGAGGTATGGGCGCCCGGCCTTGCTGTCCCCGCAAGCCCCAATGGAGGGGTTGGTGGTCATGGATTCAGGGGCGTGCAGGGGGAAAGGGACACAGGGAAAAGAAGATGGGGTTCCCAGAGATTGACAGAGAGGTTAAGGTGGGGGGGGGGGTGAGGCAGAGAGACAGAGACCCAGCCCAAAGAGATAGAAAGGGCAGGAGAGACGGAGCGAATCAAAGCGTAGAGGGAAGGACAGAGATACGCAGCCCGAGAGATGGGACAGGGAGAGACACGGAACCACGGGGAGGTGCGGGGACAGAGATGGAGTCAGAGAAGGGACCAGGAGGGACAGAGACCCGGAGGGACTGGAGCAAGCAGAAAGGGCGGAAGGTGGAGAGCCAGAGGTGGGAAGGGAGAGGGGTGAAAGGGACAGGTAGGGCGAAAGAGAAATATGTCAGCGAGAACTGAGTGACCGCTAGGACAGTGAGTGGCCGGGAGACCGACGCAGCGGGAGATGGAGAGGTCAGAAAGAGACGAAACGAGACAGGGCGCAGAGGGCGACAGACCGAGAGTCCCCGCAAGGGGCCGAGGACCAGACCCGAAGAGGCGCGGGAAGAGCAGGCGGCGGGCAGCGGGGACAGGCAGAGCCCGAGAGGGCAGGACCTGGCGGAGAGCTCGGGACGCCCCGAGGTTGCACTCACCGGCAGCCTGGCGCGGCCCGCGGCCCCCGGCGTGTCCACGGCGCTCCCCGGGCTGCGCCCGCCTGCGGGGCGCCCCTTGCTTCGGCTGCTTCCCGGCGCGCGGGGCCCCGCGGTGCGCTCCCGCGGCCGTGCGCTCCCGCCGCCGTGCGCTCCCTCGCCGCTCTGCTGCCAGCGGCCGCGGGGGCGGGCCCCGAGCCGGGCCGGGGGCGGGGGCGCGGGGAGCGAGGCTCGGCCGCTCCCAGCCCCCCAACAGGTGTCTCCCGCCCTCCCGCCAGCGCCATCCCGGGGCGGGGGCGTCGGAGAGCTGCGGAGAAGCGGGCGCCAAGGAGTCGCACCGTCGCAGGACTTTGGAAGTCCTCGGTGGCCACCACTCCGGAGCAGGGCTCCGCCCAGCCTCACAGGTCGAGCCGCCAGCCCCGACACCTGCCCTCGGTGGCCAGCATCCACCCCCAAACACACACAGGCACACACACACACACACACACACACACACACACACACACACACACACACACAAGTTCGGGCGCACCGCGGCCCTGCGTCTGGTCCTCGTTCCTGCATCACTCCAGCTCCCAGCGGCGAGCACCCGGGGCTCACTCTGCCGAGGGCCAGGGGCCACACCAGAAGTGTCCATCCTTGTCCTGCTGCTGTCCCCAAGGGCTCCCACCGTTTACACACAACGAAGACCCGGCAGCACGGGCGGGGCTCACCCTAGCCGACCCTCGGGGTTGGGGTGCTCGTAGCCGCGCACCCGGCGCAGGCTCCCTGACCCCATGGACACGTTCTCCGTTGCATCGCTCTTTGGGGATCGCTCTTTGGCGCTCGCTCTTTGGGGATCGTTTCAGACACAGCACGGGGAATGAGCCACATCCTGACTCGCTGGCGGTCCTCATGCCATTCCGTCCGTGGAAGGTACCTTCCCCTTCACCCACGTCTCTGCTCGGAGTCGGGTCGGAACTCCCTACTCTCTCTCCCAACCGCTTCAGGCCCAGCCTACCCCCAGTTGTCCTCCAGATGTTAATGGGGTGGGGGCGGTGGCACTCCTCTCAGAGACCCTCAGACATTTTGGTGCCCGAAGGGATCAACCTCCAAAACTCACGTCTGGAGGCCGTGCCAAATGCCTACGTGCGCAACTTTTGTCAATAGGAACGAAGCAGGGGTGGTGGGGGTGGGGTGGGGGGGGGCGGCATCCGGGACTTCAGACCCAGCCACATTTGCGCCTCTGGGCGGAGACTCCTCTAGAAGACAGTCCACCTCCCCTGCATCCTCTCCCAGCCAGTTCCCTCCTGCCAGGCTGCTTCCTCTGGCTGAGCAATTCTCCCTGGAACCCAACCCGGTAGTGATCGACTCTCTTCAGCCGATTCCAAGGCTCCACCAAGTCCTTAACTGTTCTGGCTCAGCCAGGACACCCCAGGATTGGATTCCTTTCTCTTGTTCCAACCCTCCTAGCCTTCTGCTGAAATTTCAGACCTGGCATGAACAAGCGCTCGGCTCTACTTGGCCTGCTCCTTGATGGGTCCATTGAGGGAATGTGCTTCCCTGGGGACACCAGAGGACAGTGGTTAGACACCCCTTGTCAGAGCCCTGGGCTCCCTCACGCAGCTGGCTGATCAGAGGCGGTACCCGGGAAAGGTCAGTGCTAAGACTTCTCCTGGCAAGGCAGGGACTGAGGTAGGGAGATGCCAGTTCAGAGGGTTTGGGAATCGAGTCACAGGGCACAGAGGAGGAGAGGGCAAGGGTCTGGGCAGTTATTCCCCCCTCCCCTCCCCTCCCTGCCAGGAGGGAAGGGCTAAGGGGAGAAGGCGCCTTATTGGAGACCAGGTTTAACTTTCCATCCTTGAGGAGGACAGGCTGTCTCACACAGCTCTGCCATCTAATCCTGCTTCAAAGACAGACAGACTGACTGAGGCCCATTCATCCCATACATTTACTGAGCATCTAGTTTATGCCAGCCACATCCCCCTGGATACAGCTATAAATGCAACAAAAATTCATATTATGCTAGTATAATTCTTTTAGGGGAGAAGAGGAGTGAGATTGTGGGGTGAGGATTGAACTGGGATTGGCCACATCAAAGCAAGTACCCCTATATTATCTCTCAGGCCCAATAATATTTTGTTTTTGGGTCATATCCAGTGAAGGATAAGCACCCTGCCTGCTGTACTCTCTCTATGCCACCTTAAGCAAATGTTATGCAAAGAAATTAATAAGTCGGCTGGAGAGACAGTACAATGGGTAAGGTACTTGCCTTGTTGAGGCTGACCTGGGCTCAATCTTCATCATCCCATATAGTACTCCGAGTCAAGAGTAATTCCTGAATACAGAGCCAGGAGTAAGCCCTGAGCATCACCAAGTGTGACCTAAAAAGCAGAAAGAAAGAAAGAAAGAAAGAAAGAAAGGAGAGAAAGAGAGAGGGGGGGAGGTAGGGAAGAAGGGAAGGAGGGAGGGAGGAAGGAAGGAAGGAAGGAAAGAAAGGAGAGAGAAAGAAATTTAAGAAAAGGGGGGATGGTGGACTACAAGATCCATCGATGTTGTTGCAAACTACTGGATTTTCTTTTTTGGTTTGTTTGCTTTGGGGACATCCCCAGCAGTGCTTTCTCCTGGCTCTATGCTCAGAGATAACTCCTGGTGATGCTTGAGGACTATATTGGGTTCTGGGGACCAAATTTGGGTGAGGCACATGCAAGGCCTTACCTTCTGTACTATCACTCTGGGCCCCTAGATTTTATTTTTTAATGAGTGACTATTTCATTACGTCACATTTTATTGGGGAACAGTCCTGATGATACTCAGGGGACCATGTGTGCTGGGGAACAAACTCCAGGCTTCCAATACGCAAAGCAAGTGCTCCACCCCATTAGGTATCACTGCAGCCCCTACACATTTTAATTTTCTGTTCATCCTTGAGGGCATTGTGCTAAGTGGAGTAAGTCAGGCAAAGACAAGTTATTGTCTGATCTCACTTTCATGTGGGATCTTCCAAACACCCCAGACTCCTAGAAAGAAAACAGACTGGTGGCTGTCAGGGATTAGTGATGTCGGGGGAAGAAGGAGCCAAATGTATAGACTTCAAGTTAGAAGGCGAATAAGTTTTAGGGTGTTATATATATAGTGTGATTATAATTGCTAACACTGTATTATATACCTAAAAGTTACAGAGAGTAGCACTGTAGTACTGTCCTCCCGTTGTTCCTCGATTTGCTCGAGTGGGCACCAGTAACATCTCCATTGTGAGACTTGTTGTTACTGTTTTTGGCACATTAAATACGCCACGGGGACCTTGCCAGGCTCTGCTGAGAAAAGTTACAGAGAGTAGGTCTTGAAAGTTCTCATCACAAAAAAAGAATTTGTGTGTTTATGTGTGTAGGGTGTGCCCGAGTAAGTACAGCAGGTGGGGTACTTACCTTGCACATGGATGACCTAGGTTTGATCCCCATTATCTGTATGGTCCTCTGAGCACCACCAGGAGTGATCCCTGAGCACAGACACAGGAGTAAGGCCTGACACCACTGGGTGTGGCCCAAAAACAAAACCAACAGAATCTGTAATCATATGGGATGATGGATGTTCACTGTACATATCATAGTGATCATTTTGTGATATATAAATGTTGCAGACTTCAAGTCTGGCAAACTCCCCGTGGCGTACCCAATATGCCAAATACCAGTAACAATGATGGGTCATATTCTCCTAAAGAGCCTTGAATATAATCTCAGGGCTAGGATGAAGGAGACGTTACTGGGGCCTGCTCGAGGCAATCGACGATTAACAGGATGATTTGTGATTGTGATTGTGAAATGTTGCAGATGCCTTGGATGAAATGGGGAGCAAGGGAAGGAGCCTCAAGGAAACAGTGTTTCTATCTTTCTGCATCGTCTGTACTGGTGAAAGTCTGCTCCGAGGGATGCTTGTGTCCCATGAGGCAGCTGCTAAGCTGTTCCTGAAGCACACCTGTTCTGCCCAGCACCACCCAAGCTCTTGGGGAGCCGTGGACTCAAGCTCGAGCGAAGAGTTGCTCTATGCAGGAGAAAAGAAAGCCAGTCCTCACCTTGGCATAGACGTTTCAGGTCTGACAGGTTCTTTTTCCTCCCAGAAAAGAATTTCAGAAGGAGGTAAAATAGTGAAATCATTTTTTTTTTTTTTTTTGCTTTTTGGGTCACACCCGGCGATGCTCAGGGATTACTCCTGGCTCATGCACTCAGGAATTGCTCCTGGTGGTGCTCGGGAGACCATATGGGATGCTGGGAATCGAACCTGTGTTGGCCATGTTGGCTGCTTGCAAGGCAAACGCCCTACCTGCCGTGCTATCACTCCAGCCCCGTGAAATCATTTTTATTTAAAGAAATTTACTTAGAGAAATACAAACGGGGAGGGAGAGAGAGAAAGAGAGAAAGAGGGAGACAGAGACAGAGAGATTTCCAAGAGAGAACTTGGACTTCTCCAGAGGGGAAAAAAAGCAGAGTGGCTTTTAGGAGAAGGGTATAAATAAGGTATATATAATTAATCACTCTTTCCTTCTCCCTCTCTTCCTCTTTCCCTCTCTCCCTCCCTCCCTCCCTTCCTACCCCCTCTCTCAGAAATCATACCTGCAAGTGCATATGGGAATCTTGGGCATTGAACCCAGTACCTCCAGTGTGATCCCTGAGCACAGAGCCAGGAGTAAGTTCTGAGCACCACCAACTGTGGCCCCAAAAAACATTTAACAAATCCAGGGAGGCGCTGGAGTGGTAGTACAGTGTGCAGGGCTTTTGCCTTGCATAGGCTGACCTAGATTTGATCCCTAGAATCCCATATAGTTCCCCAAGCCCAGCAGGAGTGACCCCTGAGTGCAGAGCCAGGGGTAACCCCAGAGCATCTTTGGGTGAGGTCGCAAAAGAAAGGGGGAAAAAGTGTAGCTCAGTGGTGGAACAGGGTTCACATATTGAACAAAACCAAAGGACTTGGGACTGGAGCGATAGCACAGCGGGGAGGGTATTTACCTTGCATGGGGCTGACCTGGATTCAATTCCCAGCATCCCATATGGTCCCCGGAGCACCGCCAGGAGTAATTCCTGAGTGCAGAGCCAGGAATGGCCCCTGTGCATCGACAGGTGTGACCCCCCCAAAACAAACAAACAAACAAACAAAAAAACAAAAACCAAAGGACTTTTTGGGTTGAAGCAATAGTACAGTGTGTAGGGTAGGCACAAGCTCTGTACTTTCCTGACTTTGGCTCAATCTCTGACACCCAAGAGATTGAGCCAAATATGGCCCTTCCCAAGCCCTTCTAGGAATGATCCCTAAGCACAGAGACAACAGTAAACCCCGAGCACCACTGGATGTGGGCCCCAAACCACAATACCAAAAAACACAAAAGAGTGATTAACTTTGTCAGTGGAAAAATTGAGATAAGACCACCAGATTTGGCAACAGAAACTGGGAGAAGTCTGGAAGCCTAATGTGAAAGGGAGAGACAAGGGAAAGCAGGGCAGCCCTGATGAATGTGGGCTCGGAGTCTGAGCAGAGGGAATGACAGGGCATGATGGGGGTAGGGGAGAGAACCCCTGGAAACTTCAGTTCGCAAACTAGGACGGAGGGGAAAGGCTCCTCCAGGCGCCGCACCTCTAACATAGTGGAGATGGGTGTCCTAATGGTCTTCTCACCGGGGCCTTACATTCATGCAGAGACACTGACTCAGATATTTCATTTGGCTGGGGTAGTTTGGGCCACACCCAGCAGTGCTCAGGGGTTACTTCTGACTTTGTGCTCAGGATCACTCCTAGCAATGCTCAAGGGATTCTGGTGTCAGAAACCAACCAGGCTCAGCCCCATACAAAGCAAGTGCCCCACAGTGTAGACTTTATGTTGTTTCCAAGTGGTTATAAATGTAGCTTTTTTCCCCTTTTCTTTTTGGGACACACCCAGTGATGCTCAGAGGTTACTCCTGGCTCCAACACTCAGAAATTACGCTGGCATGCTTGGAAGTCCATTTGGGGTATTGGGGATTGAAGTCCGGTCAGTTGTGCCGCATGCAAGGCAAATGTCCTCCCTGCTGTTCTATTGCTCAGACCTGCTCTCCCCCCACCCCCAACCCCATTAGAATGTTAAATGTTGGGTCTGGATCGTATTCAGGGGTTAAGGCTGCTTGTGTGCAGTCAACCCCATTTGATCCCCGGCACTATACATATGATCCCCCAAGCAATGCCAGGGATCACCCCAGTAGGGGTCACTCCAGAGGCCGGGACAGGCCCTGAGCACCATAGGGTGTGGCTCAAACCAAAACCAGCCCCCCCCACCACTTCACCATGGCCCCCTTATCACACCCACACAAAAAGAATGTTAAATGTTTAGAGTACTCTCATGCAAGTCGAGTGCTGTACCTGTGAGCTGCATCCCTGGCCCCATACCTGGTGGTACTCAGGGCTTACTCTTGGCTCTGCACTCAGGGATAACTCCTGGCAGGGCTTAGGGGGCCATATGGGATGCTGGGAATCGAACCCAGATTGGTAGCATGAAAGGAAAGAAATCTACCCACTGTACTATCCCTCTGGTTCCAATTTATTTTTTCTTTTTGGGTCACACCCAGCGATGCACAGGGGTTACTCCTGGCTCTGCACTCAAGAATTACTCCTGGCAGTGCTCGGGAGACCATATGGGATGCTGGGAATTGAACCCGGGTCGGCCGCGTGCAAGGCAAACGCCCTACCTGTTGTGCTATTGCTCCAGCCTGGTCCCAAATTTTTCATGTGATTTTTTGGGGGGTGGGGGTGGGGGAAAATAATAATGCTGTGAATCAAGGCCAGGGTCTCACACAAGCGAACATGCAAATAAACAACAGCATTCTACTCCTGAATTCTCATTTTTGTTTAAATAACCACGATCTTTCTGCTCTTAGTATACCAGGAGTCAGTATGATGAGGAGTGGCCTTCCCCATCGTACTATCTCTCCAGATGACTTATTAATTTCTTTACATAACATTTGCTTAGGGTGGCGTAGAGAAAGTACAGCAGGCAGGGTGCTTGTCCTGCACTGGGTGTGACCCAAAAACTAGATATTCTTGGATCTGAGAGATAGTATAGGGGTGCTTGCCTTGATGTGGCCAACCCCAGTTCAATCTTCACCCCACACCCCCACTGTTGGGGACCCCGGAAAAGGCAGAGAGTAGAGAGGAACTCTGGTTCTGGGTGCGGGTGCATATACCTGGCAGTGGCAAAGGTGGGGAATAGTGCTTGCTGCTCAAAAGTGGGTGCACACCGCCATCCTGTGGCTGTTCAGGGTAGGACCCACAGGCAGGTTCTCAGGGTGGCTTCTGTAGAGATCAGCACACACCTCCTTAACCAGGTCCTGACTTTCTCAAACAGTGGATTGTAAAACAGGTGTGGGGTGTGTGTGTGTGTGGGGGGGGGGGGGGGGGGCGGGGGATATAGGAGGTGGGCAGGCTGAGAGCCAGTAGCAGGGTTAAGGTGCTTGTCTTGTCTACAGCAGGGCCAACTTCAGTTAGATCCCTTTGTTTGTTTTCATTTCTTTTACTGAATCGCTGTGAATTACAAAGTTATTCGTAATTTAGTTTCAGGTGTACAGTGTTCCAACACCAATCCCTTCACCAGTGTCCAAATATTTTCCTCCACCCATGTCCCAGTTTCCTCCCATCCCCTCTCCCCACTCCCTCCTCCCCACCCTCCCACCCCCCTTTTTAGGCACTGTGGTTTATAGTATTGTTACTGATAGGGCATCATGCATGTCATTTTACCTTTCAGCACTCAGACCTTGTCCAGAGTGACCACTTCCCTCTAGCATTGTGGTCTATTCCCTGACGTATACCCATCCTAGCCCCCAGAGGTAAGTTTCCTTCTAAGGACCAGTTCACCTGCTCTTTTTGGGTCACACCAGTACTCACTCAGGTGTTACGCCTGGTTCTGTACTCAGGAACCACTCCTGGTAAAAATTGAGAATACCAGGGATAGAACCCAGGTCAGCCACATGCAAGGATAGTGCCATTTTTCTGGTCCCTGCTCTTCTTTCCTATTGCCTCTGGACATTCGTCTCCTATATTTCTTTATATTCTACACAAGTGAGATCATTTTGTCTGTTCCTGTCCCTCTCCCTCTGATTCATTTCATTCAGCCTGTTACTTTCCTGATCCACTCATGTACTTGCAAGATTTCATCTTTTCTTATGGCTGAATAGTATTCCATTGTGTAGATGTCACAACTTCCTTATCAAGTCATTTGTTCTTGGGCAGCTGTTTCCAGATTCTGGCTATTGTGAATAGTGCTACAATGTCTAGTTCAGACCTTGGTACCACACTTCTCCTAGCACCACCTTGTTGTGTCCCCAAAACAAAGAACTGGGAGTGCAGGGGGGAGGGAGGGGAACCACCAAATTAGGGATCAGGTAGTAGAGCAGGTAGGGCACTTGCCTCCTCAAATCCATCTGAGTAACCCCTGAGTCCACAACCAGGAGCAACACCCGAGCACTGGGGCCATGGCTCCCACACCAAAGAGGATGATCTTACTAAGAAAGCTGAGTTCTTCTTCTTCTTGTTTTTTGGGGTCACACCCAGCAATGCTCAGGGGTTACTCCTGGCTCTGCACTGAGGAATTACACAGGCGGTGCTCAGGGGACTGTATAGGATGCCAGGGATTGAACTTGCATCGAATGCATGCAAGGCAAATGCCCTACCTGCTGTACTATTGCTCCAGCCCCAAACAAGTTGATTTCTAGGCTTGACTCCAGAACCAAATTCTGGGCACTCAATGAGGGTCCTACTGCAAGGCCAGGCAGGTCTTAAAGACTTGAACACAGTAAGGGAGGGCTGCCTGAGGCCCTGCAGGAGGCAGCAGGTTCTTGTGCTGCTCAGACAAAGAGAAACAAAACTGTTCAACAGGTCTTTATTAAGAGACAGACAGGGGGAGACAGAATGCAACGGGGTCACGGCAGAAAGCTGTGATGGAATGTGTGCACAGAAAGGGCTGTCTCTAGGACTTGGCCCACCTCCCCAGGTTCTCTTTCTAGTAGTTGGGCCCTGGGCTGAGATCAGTGTCCCCCTCACACTGCCATCTGCCCCTGGAGGAGGGGCAGGGTTCTTCCAGCTTTCAGGACATTAGGCCCCTGACCTCAGCACTCTCCAGACAACGTGATTTGAGAGGATGGAGGCCGGGCTTCAAAGGGCGCTTGCATAGCAAGGGACCGGAAAGGGGATAAGGCATTTGGTGAGGACAGGGAGACGAGGGGGAAAGGCATCATAGCTGCAGGTGAAGGGGGCCTCCAAAGGCAGCTCCTCTTCCCCCCCACTCACCCTTCGAGGCCAGGTCGAGTGGTCAGACCAAGGCAGAGGGGAACACCCATCTCCATCCCTCACTCCAGAGCCCTGCTGGGGACAGGGAAGCTCTGGGAAGGCCTGAGGTCATGAGTCGAGCTTGCGGCATGTGTGTCTGACATGATTGGTCTCCCTGGACTATCTGGGGCTCCCTCTCTGGATGGGTGTGAATGGATGAGGCCAGGGAACACACGGGTTTCAGTATCTAAGTGCACGGCCCGTGAGTCCCCACACATCTCTGGGTTTGGTTGCAGAAGCATGTAGAGGTCCCTGCTCGGACCGCAGGAACTCAGCAACCGCATGTTGTGAAACGCCCTGTCTTTTCACCAGGGATCCAGCCGGTGGATGTGCGCGGGCCTGCCCGCTCCTGTTCATCCACAGGTCCTCCTTCAGGCCCGGCAGTCAGGCATCCTGGCCGAAGAGGTAGGTGGTGAGCTCAAGCCGGAGGCCCCGGGCATAGGCGCGAAGAGTGTAGAAGAAGGTGAGGAAGTCCTGGGTGCTGAAGATGGTGTCAGCCAGCGCAAAGGCCAGGGTAGAAGGGATGACGCCCCGGCCGTACTCCACCATCCAAGTGTTTGGTCCCCACTCCACCGCAGTAGCCACACCACGCTCGTGCACCACTGTTTCTCCTGGGGACAGGGAGCACCCACATGAGAACCCCAGCCCGACCCTTTTCCCCACTGCTGCTACCTCCCGGGCCTGTGGTTTAAGAGATAAGAGAGCAGATTAGGTGCCACAGGAAACAAAACCCTTCCTCTCTGGCCTGGGCTTGCTCTCTGCAGGGTACGAGGCCAAGACAGCCATCCCTAAACTTTCCTTGGTGGTATCACCCGGCTCGTGTCCTCTCTTGGGGGAAGCCAAGAAAGACCATCTCACCTGGCCATTGGATGGTGTTGTGGAAGTCTGCACTCCTGTTAAGACTTCCTCATTCATGTCAAGAAAAAATTATGGGAGCCAGAGCAATAGTGCAGTGGATAAGACATTTGCCTTACAGATGCTGGATTTAATCCCCAGCATCTCATATAGTTCCCAGAACCTCCCAGGGATGATTCCTAAGTACGGAGCCAGGAGTAAGCCCTGAGCACTGCTGGGTGTGCCTTCTCCCCCTCCATCCCCCCAAATTTATCTAAAACAGGCTAGGCCTATTAAGGAGAGGTACTCACTATATTTGAGAGGCTTTTTGAGAAACATAGCTATTCAATTACAAAGCAGCTCAAGCTAGGGTCACTAACCTCAAGTTTAAAGCTCTGCTTTCTCTTTTTGGCCACACCTGGCAATGCTCAGGATGCTGGGGATTGAACTTAGCTGCATGCAAGGCAAGCACCTTACCCACTGTACAATCTCTCTGGCCCTAAAGCTCTATTTTTCTATGCAAACTGCAGTTCTCTGCCTTGTGTTTGGGGACATGCGAGCACTTCTGATTAGCCACCTGTCTCCCCCATCAACTGCTGGAATACCATGAAGAATGCAGTCTCCAGGGAAGTCATGACAAACACAGCTAACATGTGCCCTTTTCACAGATCAAAGCAACCAGGGTCCTGAGTCGGCCTCAACCAACCACCTGCGGCTTATATGACACTAAAGGAACCAGGGAGAGCCCATTCACCCATCCCTTTTCCAGGTCATGCATTGCCCCGCCCCCAAAAGGGACCCCCCCCCCCAAACAGAGCACCCCTACCCACCTGGATAGAAGACCTCACTTTTGGTAGTGCCCTCTCTCCACTGGTGGAAGGTGCCAGAGATGATGGTGTCTGAGATCTCTGCCCAATAGCGCCCTGGGGGACAATCAGGGTGACACCGAGTATCAGGACGTCCGCGCCTTCAACACGGCCGGACCCAACACGAGGAAAGGAGGGCAGCTGGAGCCCTGGTACAGCCCTCGCCTCCCACTCCGGCCCGCCGCCAGCACTGACCCGAGTGGCCGCCAGAGCCCAGGGCGGTGCCGAAGAGCAGCACGTACTCGGTCAGCGACGCGTGCAGAAGGCACATGGCACCCATCCAGCCACCCGCGTTCACGAACACCCACTGCAGCTCCTCGTCCGGCAGCACATGGCCTGGGTGCAGCCGCCGCAGCTCCACGATCAGGCGCGAGAAGGCCAGCTCGTGGTCCAGCCCTGGCGGGGGCAAAGCAACCCTAGTCTGGGGGAGTCTGGGGGGCGCCTGCACGGGCCGGAGCCGCCGGCTGGGCCCCCCAGCCTCCCGGGCTGCCCAGGCCTTCCCCCACCCGCCCACCCAGCAGCCCCGGCTCACCCGCGTACTGCCGCGCCAGCTGAGCGATCTCTTCGGGCTGGAAGACGAAGCTCGGCGGCCAGAGCATTTGCGCCAGCACGGCCGTGGCGGCCAGAAACAGCGCGGCCCACGCCCACCGCCGGCTCACGGCCCACTGCATCCCGGCAGACGGCCTGGGCGGCGGAAACGCAGCGAGCCGGGGCTGCGGGGTCTGACGGCCGCCGCCTCCGACCTGCGGCGCATCCACGGCCCGTTCCCCCGCCACCGCCGTGGTACGGCTCGCGCGGGCCAATCGGAACGGGCCCCGGCGCCAGGCCCCGCCTCCCGGGCAGAACCATTTTCTCGCGGGAAGTTGGGGCGGCGCGTGCGCAGGAGGCGAGGGGGCGGGGCAAGTCCGCCTAACGCTGCCAGATTCTGGACCACCTTGGGGAAGAGTGATGGGTTGGGATGGGTGGAGGTGAGAACGCCCCTCTCTCTCCCGCAGGATGTACTGGCTCGCTTGGGCTCCTGGACTGGTGTGTCGCCAGCAAGCCCGGAAACAGAGCTTTTCGGGACTCGTGATCGTTAAGGTCCGCTTTTGCTAGCACATCAGGTGGGAGGAGGCACTTCTCTAGGAGGGGCTGGGGGTGGGTGCTTAGGGAGTCTCTCGAGGCGGTGACACCTCAACTGAGTCTTTAAAAGAAATGAAAAATTAATTTTAAAAAATCGAGCCGCCCGGAGTTCAGTGGTGGTGCGGCATGCTACCCATCGATGAGGCCCTGGGTGGAATTCATCCCCCACCCTCCTAACCCCATTAAACTAAATCAAAAACAGGGAAAACATTGCTACGAAAGAGACAAACTCCAAGGGCAAAATGGTGGGGACCTCAGAGGCCTACAGTCTATTCTTTGATCGCAAGCCCAAAAATGTCAGAGAAAGCCTTGAAAATCATCAAGGGTCATTCTCTTTTTTTTTTTTTTTCCGGGTCACACCCGGTAATGCTCAGGGGCTACTCCTGGCTCTGCACTCACGAATTACTCCTGGCGGTGCTCAGGGGACCATATGGGATGCTGGGGATAGAACTTGGGTGGGCCACATGCAAGGCAAACACTCTTCCCATTGTACTATCGCTCCACCCCAACTAGAGTCATTCTTAGGGGAGATAGGATTAGATTTGATTACAGAAAAAATGGGGTGCTGTAGGTGAAAGAGATCAAGATGAGTTAGGTAGACTAAGATCCAGCAGAGGAGAGATTTATGTAAGTGAAGATGAAACAAATGATCTTGAGAAATATTCTGGCAGACTTGATTTCTTCTTTTTGGAATACTCATCCTCTCTCTCCTTTCTAACTGCCTTTCATGAGACTCTTCCCCCACACCAATTTCCCTTGGTTAACACCATTTTTTCATGTCTAATGGGCAATCAAGTGCCCGGTCTGGTGTTCAGATCTTGTGTAGAGTGCTGGGAGTTGTTAGACAACAGCTATTTTGTTAGCACCTATATATGCCAAATTATGAGACAACTAGGAATATGGCCATTAAAACCGCATCATCCCATCTCTGCCTAGGCTTCTCCCTGGAAGCCTAAGGACAAAGTGGTAATTAAAACCCAAAGAGTGGATAAAGTGTCACATAAGAGATAAATGACTAAGATAAGGCTAAGAACAGAGAACACCAACAGTTAAGGGGGAGGCAGGGGAATAAAAGACGGAAGAGGAAGAGAAGTACAAGAGAGAAAAGAGACAGCATATAGCAGTGATTAAGAAACCGGAGCTTGATGCTGGAGGTACAGTGGGTAGGACATTCACCTTGCATGCAGCTGACCCAATTTCCATCTCATAGGGTCCCCCTGAGCCGCACCAGAAGTGATCCTGCAGTGCAGAGCCAGGAATAAGTTCTGAGAATCATCAGGTCAGCTTCAAAAAACAAAACAGAAAGCATGAGGGTGAGGAGGAGGAGGAGGAAGAGAAGGGAAAAAAGGAAGGAAGGAAGGCCATAAAAGACACTGGAACTAGGGGTTAGAGAGATAATATGGTAGGTAAGGCACTTGGCTGGAGCGATAGCACAGCGGTAGGGCTTTCGCCTTACAAGCAGCCAACATGGCCAACCCGAGTTCGATTCCTCCGCCCCTCTCGGAGAGCCTGGCAAGCTACCGAGAGTATCCGATATGCCAAACACAGTAACAACAAAGTCTCCAATGGAGACGTTACTGGGCCCGCTCGAGCAAATCGACGATCAACGGGAGGGCAACGGGAGGGCCTTTACCTTAAGGCACTTGCTTTACACACAACTGACCTAGGTTTGCATCCCAGCACCCCACGTGATCTTCCAGGCACTGCCAAGAGTAATCTCTGTGTGCAGAGCCAGGAGTAAACTTTAAGCACTGCTGATGTGGCTCCAAAAAACAAAAAGAAAAAAAGAAAAGAAACTGGTGTTGGATTAGTGGGTTAAATGCCTGTCTCTTGCTCTCTATTTGTTGTGTGATCCTGGGCAAGTTATTTAAACTTCCTGTGACTCAGTTTCTCACTCACAAAATGGGATAGCTAAAAGTAGCCATCTCATAGTACATACCTTCATTGTGAACATTAGATGAGTTAATATATTTGTAAAGCAATTAGTGACAGGCACATGGTGTTATATGTGTTCGCTGTATAAATACAACATAAAGGAGAAGGCTCTGGAAGAGGGTAACCAACACATGAGATGATGGAATGAAGGATCAGCACAGTCAAATGTAATTGACGGGCCCAATAAAATGATGGGAATTCGTAATTAGGTTTCTCAGTAGGGTCACAGAGCAGGAGATAATGGTAGACTTTAACAAGCCCATTTGTTTTTCGCTCTTGAGCAGCCAGGTTACATTCCACGGTTACCTCTATAGTTAGAGGAAGCCCCATGATTGCGTTCTGGCCAAGGAAATACAGACTTAAATGACGTATGCCACTGAATAGCAGGGGGACTGGTCCCCAAGTCTGTGCTCTGGTTCCTCGTTCCAAGCAGAGCACTCTGGTGCTGTGTAGATAGGCAGCTCCTCATTCTGATCTCTTAGAAAGCTTCTCCAGACACACTGATTTGTTTTGTTGTGTTGTTTTAAATAAGAAATCATTAAGAGCGTCTTGAAAAAAGGACTTATTAAAGGGATTGCAGGGGACTGGGGATCACAGCCATATTCGTTGGATGTGGTAGCAGACATCATTCCCCTGGGATATTGGAGAAAAAGGGTTGGGTAAGCCCTATCTCAACCATTCTCTTTTTCCCCAGCACCCCCACCCCTCCAAGACCTTGTGTAGATAGGGAGAGGGAAGGGTGATGTTCCTAAGATATGGTCCTGGGACTGGGAGATAGTGCAGTTGGTGGAGCGCATGCCTAGCATACACAAAGTTCTAAGTCCAATCCCCAGCACCATATAGCCCCCGAAGCACTGCTGGGAGTGGCCTCCATGTGAACAAAATGAAACAAAAAAAATTTTTTTTTGGCTTTTTGGGTCACACCCGGCAATGCACAGGGGTTGCTCCTGGCTCTGCATTCAGGAATTACTCCTGGTGGTAGCTCAGGGGATCATATGGGATGCTGGGAATAGAACCCGGGTCGGCCATGTGCAAGGCAAACGCCCTACCCATTGTGCTATCACTCCAGCCCCCAAATTTTTATTTATTTATGTAAAAAGAGCAATTCCTGTAAGAGTGAGGAAACTGTTGTTTTGGTCCAGAAAATGATACTGAAACATGAATATTATTGAGAAAATGGGACTGTCTGCACAAACTGTCACTCCAACACTAGAGAGGGTAAGTGGAGGCAGGACTGATGTACATATTTTGCATGTTGGAGGCCTAGGTTTTGTTCCTGAACACTGCTGGGAGTAGCCACTGAGCACCACAGGACATGCTCCAGTAATAAAGGAGAAACAATAAAAGGTACAAAAGCAGGTCTCCTACCCTCCCCCGCGGGCAATGAGATAGATAAAACTGAGTTTACTCTGCTCTCTGCTCCCTGTTCCCCGTTAGAGGCCTCTTCTGATTCCAGTCTGAGGAACTTAGGGCAGAGATCAGGTAAATAACCAATGACCCAGTTTTTGCATCTGAGCTATAAAACTGCATGGGCTGACTGGCTTGGGGGTTAGGGCCTCCCTGCTGCTGCCCGACTCTTAGCTCACTCTTACTCTCCTCTCCCCATCCCAGCTCCAATGAGCCACACGCCCCGTCCCTAGGTTTCTGGATTGAGTCTCACTGAAGTCTCAGAGGCATTTCAGAGTAGTTGGAAAGAGCCTGGGAAACTAGAGCTCAGATCTCAGCGTGGCCACTCATCCTTTGGGTGACCTTGTGATGGCCACATCCCACTGTGATGGGATGAGGAAGTTTAGACAATAGATGGTTCTTTAGGGGTCAGCCATGCCTGAGGCCCTGAATTTTATTCTTAATAGGGCCCAAAAAAAAGAAAAAAAGGGAGGCATGGAACTACAACTATGGAATGATCTCTTCAATGTGTGCAAACACTATAACTAAAGAAGAGTGACCCCAGAGGAGAACCCCACAAGCACCACGGCTAAGTGAGCACTGTAATTGAGATTGTGTGCATCCCCTGGTCATTGGGGTAAGATCAACATAGGGACAGTAAGGGGGAAAGTAAATAAATTTTATTGTTTTTGTTTTGTTTTGTTTTTGCTTTGTGGGTCACACCCGATGATGCTCAGGGGTTACTCCTGGCTCTGCACTCAGGAGTTACTCCTGATGGTGCACAGAGGACCATATGGGATGCCCCAGGTTGGTGCGTGCAAGGCAAACGCCCTCCCCCACTGTACAATCACTCTGGCCCAGTAAATAAGTTTTTTTTTTTTTTTTTTTTTTTTTTGCTTTTTGGGTCATACCTGGTGGTGCACAGGGGTTACTCCTGGCTTATGCACTCAGGAATTACCCCTGGCGGTGCTCAGGGGACCATATGGGATGCTGGGAATTGAACCTGGGTCACCGTGTACAAGGCAAAAGCCCTACCTGCTGTGCTATCGCTCCAGCCCCCAGGAAATAAGTTTTAAAGGCCAGGGGCTGGCATACATGCACACACGATCTCTGGGACCCCCTCGGATTACACCTGAATCACTTTCAGATGTGGCCTGTTGGCCCCTGTAGGATAACATTGGTTTGTCCTTTCTGCCTTGCTGCTGGGAGTTTAGGTTTATTGGTTTATTGCCATCACAGTGCTCCCATTCCTCTGTGTTTATTTCTTACTTCTTTCTTTGTGCTCTGTTAATTTGTAAATATTGTTTTTCTCTTCTCCTTAAATCCTTTGTATAGTTAATTCAGAACAATGTCCTTTTTATATGGACACAGGAAGACAGTAAACGCTATGCTTTTGTAACATGGGAGTTAATTGACTCCATATAATATTATCTCCGGGGCATCTGTTCTTTCCACACCTAAGCCTCAGTTGCCCTTACTTCCTAGCACTCCAAAAGAATTGTCCCGAGACGAGGAACTGGATGACCTGGGGCAGTGACTATGTGCTACCCTGGCATTGAAATGGGCCAGGGTATAGTTAATGCTTAACTATAAGTTAAAAGCATAGTCATGGACAAATTCTGTCATGATCCAAAAAGTAATAACTAGATTTGGACCCTGCTAGGGTTGGGAAAGATTAATTTAGCCTGAGCACTGTTGTCTGAGTTAATGGAAAGATGTTCCCAGGAGAGCCTCCCTACAAGCCTCAATGTATATCTTACTGTATCCATACCAAAAAACCCCTAATAATAATAGGTTGAATTAAGGGGCTGGAGCGATAGCACAGTGGGTAGGGCTTTGCCTTGCACACCACCGACCTGGGTTCTATCCCCAGTATCCCATATGGTCCCCCAAACACCACCACGAGGAATTCCTGAGCGCAGCGCCAGGAGTATCCCCTGTGCATCACTGGGTGTGACACCCCCCCAAAGAAAAATCATGAAGTAGAATTAAAATGTTAATTAAGTTATTAGACTAAGGAGAAGAGGAACATCCCTAGGTAGTGTTTCCACCCTTGAGCCTGATGGGCAGTCAGGAAGGGCTTTCTTATGTTGATTTTGCTACTGAATCTGTGTGTAACCCAAAGTGCTGGGGGTGGAGAGAGGAGAGAGTTTAGGAGATGAGAGAACAGGGCAGCAAGATGGAGTTTTGGAGAGGTGAGCTGGAGAGCTAGGAGACGGGAATGAGGAGCAGTGTGAGACTAGAATGGGGAGCTTAGTGAGACTGGAATAGGTGCCTGGGTAGAGTGGAATAGATGACAACTGAACAATCATCCGACTTGGCCCTTGTTTCCTCCTTCTGCCCCATAGCCTGGGCCGCCCTGGGTGGGGGAACTGCCTAACACCACTTAATGCGGGTGGAGAGAGAGAGAGAGAGAGAGAGAGAGAGAGAGAGAGAGAGAGAGAGAGAGAGAGAGAGCGCGCCTCTGGGGCTTCCCCTAGCTGCCTGGAGATTATACAGGTCCTCCCAGCACCACTGAGCTGTATGTATTGCTATGCCAAGCATGGAACCATCAGGCCTATACAGCTGGGATGGGCAACTGAGCAGAACCTGAACTGGTTGAGCATTGCCTGGGTCGTCCCCATCTTCTGCCCTGAAAACAATGTACCTTGGGAAGAGTTTGAATCCTCTACCAGTGTTAGCCAAATGATTTGATCCCAGGAAAAGTTAGAGAAGGAAAGAGGATGTGTGAAGGAGTTGCTCCTGCTCCATTTAGATGGTGGCTGGAGCACCTGATTGTCAAATCCATATTTTCTGGGTTATGTTTTTTTCTGGGATTCTCCAGCATAGCTGGGAGCAACCAGGGCTATACCCACTGGTATACATTTTCAGATTTCTTCTAACCTTTTTCTTGACTTTGTCTTTTTTTTTTAATAAAAGTTTTTTTTGGGGGGGGGAGGGGGCACACCTGGTGGTACTCAAGGCTTATTGGTGGTTCTCCTTTTGTGGGAGGACTCAGAGGGCATATGGAGTGCTGGGGATTGAACACAGGTCTGCGGCATGCAAGGAAAATCCCCTACCCATTGTGCTCGAGTGGGCCCAGTAACATCTCCATTGTGTTTGGCATATCAAATATGTCATGGGTAGCGTGCCAGGCTTTACCGTGTGGATGAGATACTCTCAGTAGTTTGCTGGGTTCTCCGAGAGGGATGGAGGAATCGAACCCAGGTCAGGTGGGTGGGCTGCGTGCAACGCAAATGCCCTACCCACTGTGCTATCGCTCCAGCACTGCTATCACTCCAGCCCGTGCTTGGGGGTATGCATACATATGTGCATGTGTAGGGGTGTGTGCACGTGCACGTGTATTCCCAAACCTGTTGAGAATGAGGTGAAGTACCAGCTCCCCCAGGATTCAGGATTCTTACCCTCAGTGAAACAGAGTAGGTCAAGCCCTGCTCCCCTTCCCTTCAATCCCCACCCTCCCTAGATTGCCTCTTCTCCACTGCACCCATAAGGGAGGTCCCCTGGACCCAGGGACCAGGACACCTTTAGCTTACCCTACAGTGTAAGCTCTGAGAGAGCAAAGGCCATATCTGCCTTGTGTACACAGGGGCGTCCCTTTCGCCCACTGGGAAGAGTCCAGAAGACTACGGAGTAGGAGGTAATAAATATTTGCTGAATGAGTGACCAAATGAATAACTGAACACGGGAATTTTGTAAGCACGGTGGAGCTGAGAGGCCTGCAGTAAGCATTGCTGGGGGAGGTTCTGCCTTTGGCCCCGGGTCAAGATCCGTAGGGACCACGCACGCACGTCTTCCAGCTACAGTGCGCCCCTGCCCGGAGCCCCGCCCCCAGGTGGCCGGCCCAGACAGTCACGTGCTGGAGACTGCCAATCAAAGTGGGGCGGGGCGGGGAACGGCGAGGTCCGAGAAGGAGGCGCTGGCGCGGCGGCTCGGACATTCCTCACTCTCCCAGCGTCCTCGCTGCACCTTCTCTGCGGCTCCCCGGGCAGTGGCCCCATGGCGCACGGTGGAACGGGCCCCGAGCAGCGCCAGCAGGCGTCCGAGGCGGACACCACGGTCACGAGCTTCCGAGCGAGCGGTAACTGCAGGGCGACCGCCGAGACCCTGCAGGTCCCCCCAGGGCTGGGCGCGCCCCATTCATAAGTGAGGAAGTTCTGATTCCTCACCCCAACAGTGCGAGATACCCACCCCCGGCCTGGCCCACGTGGCCACGGAGCTGCAGGCTGGGATCGTTGGCTGGGAACGTCTAAGCCTGAGCAGGGAGGAAGGGGGCCCGAGCTTGGGCTTGCTGCTGGGCCCAGCGGCCAGAGTGCTCTGCTGACTAATCTCGACGCTCTATTCCTAGAACATCAGCATATCCGCTACAACCCGCTGCAGGACGAGTGGGTGCTGGTGTCGGCTCACCGCATGAAGCGGCCCTGGCAGGGCCAGGTAGAACCCCCGCTGCTGACGACCGTGCCCCGGCATGACCCCCACAACCCTCTGTGTCCCGGGGCCACCCGGGCCAATGGAGAGGTAAGCCCTTCGCATCTGCACCTGCAGACCCTGCTCTCAGTGCGCCCCCTTTCCCCCGCCCCCAACACACACACAGGGACAGTGCACCTACTTCTGGGTCTTACCCAACCACTTATTTTTTTTTCCCTCCCCCAGTTTTTGAGCCACACCCTCCAGTGCTCAGGGACTGCTTAGTGCTGGGGAAGGAAGGTCACTTCTGATGGTTGCCAATACCAGGGGATCCAACTGGGTCTCCCGTATGCCAGATGGGCTCTCCAGTTCCTTGAACTCTGCCTCCCACCAAGTCTTTGTTTTGGGGCCATACCCAGTGGTTAGCACAGCGGTAGGGCGTTTGCCTTGCACGCAGCCAACATGGCCAACCCGAGTTCGATTCCTCCGCCCCACCCGGAGAGCCTGGCAAGCTACCGAGAGTATCTCGCCTGCTCGGCAGAGCCTGGCAAGCTACCCGTGAGGTATTCGATATGCCAAACACAGTAACAACAAGTCTCAAAAAATGGAGAAGTTACTGGGCCCGCTCGAGCAAATCAATGAACAACGGGAGGACTGTGGACCGTGACCCAGTGGTGCTCAGGGTTTATTCCTGCCTCTGTGCTCAGTGGTCATTCCTGGCAGGACTCATGGGACCATATGGGGTTCCAGGGATTGAACCCTGGTCAGCCGTGTTCAAGGCAAGCGCCTTATTCGTGCTATCGTGCTATCCCTCCGTCCAAGTCTTTTTGAACCCAATATTCAAAAGAACTACTGGGGGGCTGGAGAGATAGCACAGCGGATAGGGCTTTTGCCTTGCACGCGGCCAACCCGGGTTCGATTCCCAGCATCCCATATGGTTCCCTGAGCACCGCCAGGAGTAACTCCTGAGTGCAGCGCCAGGAGTAACTCCTGTGCATCGCCAGGTGTGACCCAAAAAGAAAAAAAAAAAAAAACCTACTGGGGCCGAAGCGATAGTACAGCAGGTAGGGTGTTTGACTTGCAAGCGGCTTGACCCGGGTTTAATTTCCAGCATCTCATATGGTTCCCCGAGCACTGCCAGGAGTAATTCCTGAGTGCACGAGCTAGGAGAAATCCCTGTGTATCGCCGGGTGTGACCCAAAAAGCAAACAAACAAACAAAAGAACTACTACTCCCCCCCACCCCCCAGAGCCTGTTCAGCCCCTGAAGCCCACCAAAGGGGCCTGTGGGGCAGTGGTTGCTTCTAGCCCATCTTTGTCAGTAGGTGAATCCCCACTACGATGGCACCTTCCTGTTTGACAACGACTTCCCGGCTCTACAGCCTGACGCCCCTAGTCCAGGTAACTGGGCTCTTGCCGCTGTTGGGAGGGAGAGAGGCTGGACCTCTTCGGGGATTTCTGTGGGCAGAGAGTGATACCCCTTTGTCTCAGGACCCAGTGATCACCCCCTTTTCCAAGCAGAGGCTGCTCGAGGAGTTTGGTAACTATGGATTTTCCCTTCTTGCCCCTTTCACCCCAGGGCCTGAACTGAGACTGGGGTTGGGCTCCTGCCCCTAGCACAACCAAGCCCTCTACCTCTGATGTCCCTCCCTCCTTCGCCACCCAGTAAGGTCATGTGCTTCCACCCCTGGTCGGATGTGACACTGCCACTCATGTCAGTCCCTGAGATCCGGGCTGTCGTTGATGCGTGGGCCTCAGTCACAGAGGAGCTGGGTGCCCAGTATCCCTGGGTGCAGGTCTGTGAGGTTCACCCCCACTTCCCTGGAATAGTAGGGTGGATGTGGGTGCGGCTTGGGTTGGGGGAGGCTTTTCTTGCTTCCCTGGGCTGTGGTCAGAAGGGTTAACGGGTGTGTCTTCAGCTACTAAAGCTCCCTGCCTCTACCTGACAGATCTTTGAGAACAAAGGAGCCATGATGGGCTGCTCCAATCCTCACCCTCACTGCCAGGTAAGCGTGTCCGGCATTCCACTGGCTTTCTGGGCTGAATCCAAGCCAACAGGGCACAGAGGCGACCTGAAAAAGGGAAGGCACAACATAAATAGGTTAGCAACGTCGAGGCTTTGGGGTGAATGAACTGCCTGTTCTTGACCTTGTCCCTTAATAGGTGTGGGCAAGCAGTTTTCTGCCGGATATTGCCCAGCGTGAGGAACGATCTCAGCAGGCCTATCGGTGTCAGCATGGAGAACCCCTGCTTATGGAGTATGGCCGCCAGGAGCTGCTTAGAAAGGTGGGCGAGGGGCCAAGAGATAGGACAGTGGGGAAGGCACTTGTGTTACACATAGTCAACCTGGGTTTGATCCTCGCATCCCATATGTTTCTCCAAGCAGCTCCAAGAGTGATACCTGAGCACAAAGGAACCAGGAGTAAACCCTCAGTACCACTTGGTGTAGCCCAATGCCCCCACCAAAAAAAAAAAAAAGTTGGAAAAAGCCAGGTGCTGTGTCTCCAAAGAGCCCCTAACCTCATCCCAAAAGACAATGAGAAGAAGAAAAGTATCAGGGCTGGAGCGATAGCACATGGATAGGGCGTTTGCCTTGCACGAGGCTGATCTAGGTTAAATTCCCAGCATCTCATGGTCCCCTGAGCACTGCCAGGAGTAATTCCTGAGTGCAGAGCCAGCAGTAACCCCTGTGCATTGCCGGGTGTGACCCCAAAAACAAAAAAGCAAAAAAAAAAAAAAGAATGGAAACAAAGTATCAGAGAGACCCACTAGGAGAGCATAGCACTAGTCTGAAGGGGTCTGAGAGATAGGAGAGCGGTTAAGGCACTTACCTTGCATGAGGCAAATCCAGATTTGAATCCCCAGGACCATGTAATGGTTCCCTGAGTGATCACCTCTAGGAGTGATCCCTGAGTACAGAACCAGAAATAGCTCCTGGTCCCCATCGGGTGTGGCCCCAAACTCCCAAATTAATAGTTATCTGTAGGAAATATGATGGTGGCTTAGATTTGGGTGGGAGTGGTAAAAGGCAGTGAGAAGCCATCTGATTCTGGGAACATTTTTTTTTTTTTTTTGCTGACCTCACCCTTGCCTTGACGCCGCCTCTCCATTCGGTTTGTCCCAGGAACGTCTGGTCCTGATCAGCGAGCACTGGTTAGTTCTGGTCCCCTTCTGGGCCGTGTGGCCCTTCCAGACACTGCTGCTGCCCCGCCGCCATGTGCGGCGGCTGCCTGAGCTGACCCCTGCTGAGCGTGACGGTGAGCGTCCCGGTGGGGACATGGGGCTCTGTCTGGAGATGGCTCTGGGAGCACCAGCATCTGAGTCCCTATCTGCTTCGCCTCTGATTCCAGACCTAGCCTCTGTCATGAAGAAGCTCCTGACCAAGTATGACAACCTGTTCGAGACATCCTTTCCCTACTCCATGGGCTGGCACGGTGAGAGTTTCCAAGCACCCTTTTGAGCCCTGACACCGTTTCTGCAACTCCTAGCAGGCCTGGAAACACTTGCTGGGACAAGTGTCCAGAGTCGGGATGCTGGGAATGAGCGTGGAGCAAGCAGCCTGCTGGGTGGAAGGAACCATGTCCCCTGGGTATGCTTTCAGATGCTCCATGATCTCTCACAGGGAATGCTGGGAGATGTAGTTTTCAGCCCTCTATCCTGGTATGGAAGCAGAGGGTGGGACCTTCCCTAGCCTTCTCTGCCTTCTTCCTTTCAGGCGCTCCCACTGGATCAGAGACTGGGGCCAACTGGGACCACTGGCAGTTGCATGCTCACTACTATCCTCCACTCCTGCGTTCTGCCACCATCCGGAAATTCATGGTTGGCTATGAAATGCTTGCCCAGGCTCAGAGGGACCTCACGCCTGAGCAGGTTAGGACCCGGATCACCCCGGGGCTGTGTTCTCCCTTTTTTCTCCCATTGCCTCAGAGGATCCCAATAGATGTGACCGAGAACCCCTGGAACCTGGGCTCAGGGACTCAGGAGCTGCTCAGTTCCTTCATCCTCTGGTGATGCCACCAGCCCTTAGCGCCAGCTTCCTGGCCCCTCCAGCTCTTGCCCCAGTAGACATTCAGCTCCACACCTCTATTCTGCAGGGTGCTTCCCATTCATGACTGCCCTGTTTCCTTTCCAGGCTGCGGAAAGACTAAGGGCCCTTCCGGAGACTCATTACAGCCTGCGGCAGGAGGTCAGCGAGGCAGCGGCTGATGCTTGACCATACTGACCACAGCACCTTCGGCTTGAAGGAACAGGGCCTCAGGCGTGGACAGATGTGGGATCAATAAAACTGCTTCTCAAACTCTAACCATGTGTTCTAATGCCAGGGCTGGAGCGATAGCACAGCGGGCAGGGTGTTTGCCTTGCATGCAATTGACCCTGCCAACCCGAGTTCGATTCCTCCGCCCCTCTCGGAGAGCCTGGCAAGCTACCGAGAGTATCTCGCCCGCACGGCAGAGCCTGGCAAGCTACCTGTGATGTATTCGATATGCCAAACACAGTAACAAATCTCACAATGTTACTGGGCCCGCTTGAGCAAATCAGTGAACAACGGGAGGACAGTGCTACAGTGCTCTAATTCCAGAGGAGTAGGAGCCCTAACTATCAGGGGCCTGTGAAGGAATCCATTGGCTATAACTTCTTCAGTCTGCCTACGTATATGCAAAAGTATAAAGATTCAAACATTCCACTTCAAATTGCTGAGCAATATTGAGACTCAATATAGATTCTTAGGCTCCTGGAGCAACGAAGACACATCATTTTAAGAAATGACTTTAAAATTAGGGGCCGGAGCGATAGTACAGTGGGTAGGGCATTTGCCTTGCACATGGCTGACCAAGGTTCAATCCTGGCATCCCATATGGTCCCCCCCCAGCACCGCCATGTAATTCCTGTAATTCCTGAGTGCAGAGCCAGGAGTAACCCCTGAGCATCGCCGGGTAAGATGCAAAAAAGATCTAAAAAGAGAAAAAAAAATGACTTTAAAATCCTGTGTTCGTGACTGTGACAGACTGGCAAGACCAGAGTTTGTTACTGCCCCTCCCAGGTTATCATCTCACCCAGGGTCTGAGGGTTTGGTGGGGAGCAGCTGAGCACCCAGTGGTCAGTGGCCAGCCCCTGGGCCATAGGCCAGAGCCCTCGCTTGGTGAGTGACTGCAGCCTGGTTCCGTTCCAGCCCACAAGGCTAGGGAGGGAACGTGTAGTGGCTTTGTCTCTCTGACTTGCTCCAAACTTCCCATACAGCGGGGGTGGACACTTCTATCGTTCCTGGACCTTGAACACTGATGCTGGGGGGGGGGGGGGCAGGGACTGTCAGACTCAGTACCCCCAGGACTGAGAAGGAGGGAGTGGTTGTTGGAGTGACCCCATGTCTGCTACCTCCCCTCTGGATCTCTCTCCTGGCAAAACAATGCCTGCAGGAACATCAAGCCACACAAGCCAGAACACCTGATTCTACCTGGGGTCTTCTAGGCTTTGCGGTGAGGATGGGGCTTGTGAGCAGTGCCACATGTGGCAATGACACTTTTGCCTCATCTCTGAAAGGGGAAATCATGCCAAAGCTGGACAGTGATGATTTGGCCTTGGCTGGGTTCTTTCTTGAGACAGTGGAGGAAAGGTCTGGAAGTGTAAACAGAATGTGCATGTCTTGTGAGCTCCCCTTGCCTGGGGAGTGGATGAGAATTGGAAGGGTGAGTGGTTTCTTAAGGCATATACCCGTGAACACCTGCACGTGCATGCACACAGCTGAGCGCACACCTTTGATTCAGCTGCGTTTTGCAATCATCTGAGAAATTTTAAACAATATTGATGCCGGGCGCCTGCCTCCAAAGGTTCTGATTTCATGGGTATGGAATGCGGCGTGGCATTCCAACCACGATGTCCAGCCGGTGTTGGAGAACCGCTGCCCCTCTTTATTTTTTTTGCTTTTTGGGTCACACCCGGCGATGCTCAGGGGTTACTCCTGATTCATGCACTCAGGAATTGCTCCTGGCGGTGCTCAGGGGACCATATGGGGTGATGGGAATCGAACCTGTGTCGGTCATGTTGGCTGCGTGCAAGGCAAATGCCCTACCCGCTGTGCTATCACTCCAGCCCTGCCCCTCTTTATCTTATCTGGAGTAAGGGCACCTTCAGTCACCTGCCCAGTGGCTACTGGGCCAGTGGAATTGTAGTTATCATTTCGGACCGCTGAGGGAGGGCCCTGGAAGCTTCTATTGCAGCTGGCCGGGGGAGGACAGTCCTTAAGTTCAGGACCAAGGAACCCAGCTCCAGTCTCTCCCGGGCAGCCTTCTCAGTCCGGACAGGACAGGAAGTGTCCGGCAGAGGTGGGGGTGGAGGTGATTGGCAGTTGGAGGCTCCAATAGGCCGAGACCCCCCCCTAATTCACGCCCCTCCTTCCATTGGTGCTGGGGCGGAGCCGCCCCAACTGCGGGGCCTCAAGGCGGGCGCGAATAGAGGCCGGGGCAGAGGGTGCAGGCGGCGGTGGCCGCGGAAGGTAAGACCGGTGGGGCCTCCCCGTGGGTGCAGGGCGAGACGCGGCCAGGAGGGGGCGGGCCGGGCAGGGTGGATGGATCCGAATGGGCTCGAGGGATGGGCCAGAGGATTGTGTGTGTGTGTGTGTGTGTGTGTGTGTGTGTGTGTGTGTGTATGTGTGTGTGTGTGTGTGTCCCCGTAACTGTCACTTGGTGCAGCTGTCAGCTAACGTGGCAGTGCGTGTCTGCAAGTTGTGCAATTGTGGATCTGATGCTGGGCATCTGACTTGTGGCGTGTGCGTGTGCGTTGCTGTGTGTGTTGCTCTGGATGTGTGTGTGTGTGTGTATGTGTGCGCACGCGTATGCTTGCGCGCGGGCCTGAAGGGACACGGGGGCTTCGTGTCTGGGGGATTTCTGTGGCAGCCCCGAAGTGCGCGGGAGGTGGGTTTGCGGGCTCCCAAGCGTGACTCCCACAAGAGCGGACTGTGTGTGCTGTGTCCTGCGGGGCTGCGTGCCTTGGGGGGAGCCCTTGCAAGCAGCGAGGGGGGCTGAGGTTCCTTCCTTGTCCAGCGTCTGCCTTCCCTTCCCTTGAGTGCTGGGGCCCTGGGTGACAGTCCCGCGTCTGCTGTTTCCTCCCACTTGTCTCCCCAGTGGAGTTTACTTCTGCTTTTCACTTTCTCTGCATCTCTCTCTCGTTCCCTCGCTCGCTCCGTCTCTGCATCTCTCACTGTCTCTCTCGCACACTCTCTCTCTCTCGTTCTGTTCATACTTTCTCTGTCTCTGTCTCTGTCTCTCTCTCGCTGGCTTGCTCTCACTCTCTGTGCCCCCCGTGCCTGACTGCAGAGCTGCCATTGATAAGAGCTTCTGGAAAGAGGGGGCAACTAACGCTGGTGGTGGGGGGAGGGCATGTAAGGAGATATTCAGCAGGTGGCAGCAATGCAAGCTTTGCATCCAGGATGCCCGGGCTGGATCCCTGACACCGTATGGTCCCCAGAGCAAGGCAGAGAGCAAGAATTGACTCGCCGCCCCCCCGCCCCCCCATCTCTCACACTTTGCTGGGAGTAGCCCTTGAACTCCACCAGGTGGGGCCTCAAAACAAGACAAAACAAAATAACAACCAAAAAGTCCCCAAACCTAATGAGCAGTGACTTTTAGGGAGTGTGGGATTCACCCCCACCCAACAGGAATGTGTGTGTGTGTGTGTGTGTGTGTGTGTGTGTGTGTGTGTGTTAAGGGTCCTGGTCCCAATAAGGATTCTTCATGTACTCCATGTGACTGTGGGGGGCTGTATCTGAGTGTGGGTCTGAGGCCTAAGTGTGGGTCTGTGTATCTTGCACCACGGGACCAAAGGCATTTCCTGGTGCAGGGGCTTAAAGAGGGGAAGGGGGGAGAAATGCAGGGGGAGGTGAGAAATTGGTGGAATGTCCAGGGAGGGGAAATTGGACTCTTTGGCTTTTCTTCACATCCCCCAACTAGGGCCTCCTTTCCCCTCAAAACAGTCAGCTGTGCCCGAAGGAAATATTTCCTGGGCTTGTGAAAAGAGTGTGTGTGTGTGTGTGTGTGTGTGTGTGTGTGTGTGTGTGTGTGTGATAGCTTGTTTTGTCACGTCCACTGGTGTTCAGGGAGTGTCTTTTGGTTCCTGTGCCTAGTGGTCCACACAAGGCCGTGGCCGTGTGGCTGAGCACACAGGGCATGGCTCCCCCCGAGGGGACACAAGCCACCCTCCTGTCCCTCCTCTGGCCCAGTGCTGTGCTGCGGCTTCCTTTCCAGACTGGGGGCAGGCCTCTTCCCTTCCTGGGGCCTCGGGAGGGAGGGAGGGAGGGGGTGAGGGGAATGGAGGGAGGAGCGGGGACGAGGGGAGGGGGCCTGGCTAGGGGACAGAGGGGCGGGGGCTGGGACGGGAAGACAGAAGATTCTGGGGTCCCAGAGCTGAGTGGAGCGAGCGGAGCTGGAGCTGGTGGGAGGAGGACCCGGAGCCATGGACACTCAGCCGCAGAAGTAGGGTGGGCTCAGGAGGGCAAGTGTGGTGGGGGCGGGGGGGCCTGCGGATACCTGCTGATGGACACAGGCCTGGACACCTCTGCCTCTCCTTGGCAAGGGTCTGTTGCTTCCTCCTCTGGCCCCTCACCTGGGGTCCTCACCATCACACCCTTTTCCTGTCCCCAGGGCCACTTTCCTACCACTTTTCCTGCTTCCCTTCACGATTTCCTCCCTCCCCCCACCTCCAGCCCCTCCACCCCCATGCACACCCCACGAGGGCCCTCTTTCAGGGCCTCTCTGAGCTCCTCACCACTTTCCCATCACCTCCCAGTCCTGCCCGGGGACCGTCTCCTGCCCACCCCCCACCCCTACCGTGGGGCCCCCCTGCCCTGCCGTGGACCCCTCGAGCATGCAGGCTCCCCACTTCTCTCAGCCTCCTCTCCCCTCCCCGCCACCCTGTCTCCATCTGCTGGCTGCCCGCCCGCCCCCAGCCTCTGGCAGCAGCCAGGGCATCTGGATCTGTTTAACTCAGCCTCAGCCTGCACCCTAGCCCCGTCCAGCCTCCCCGGCTCCAGCCCAGCGAGATTCCAGAGGCAGGCCCAAATAAGTGGCCGGAGTAGCCAGAGCAAGGAGCCAGGCCAGGCCAGGCCAGGCCAGGCCGGAGGAGTCCTGGCAGCCAACATGGGGCGAGGCCTCAGGGCCTGCCAGGTGGGCTCAGACCAGCAAAAGATGCCCCCCACCCCCACTCCGGGGGGGGGCGGGGGTAAGAGCTGCCCTAGATCAAGTCAGAGGCTGCATCTAGCAGTGGGCCAGGTGGGATTGACCCTCAGAACCCCAACAGCTGGATTGGAGGAGTTAACAGGAGCAGCTGAGCCAGTGCCAGCACTTGGTGCCAGGGGTGGGCGCCAAGGGTGTGTGTGTGTGTGTGTGTGTGTGTGTGTGTGTGCGCGCGCGCGCGGGTGGCGGGGGGGTGGGGGAGGGTGGTGCTGGCACAGTCTGTTGCCTCCGGCTTTTGTTCTGGGCCCTCAGCCCAGGACTCAAGTGGAGGGGGTGAGGGTGTGAGCGTGTGTTTTCATGCCTGTGCTACTCTGGGGTATGGCCGGAGAGGAGACCTTAGTGAGACCACCCCAGTGATTGGCGGTATCCTCACCTCTCTCGAAACCTCAGTTTCCCTCCTGGAGAGTCTGGCATGAGGGGCGGGGGCGGCGTGAGCTTGGGCCCAGGGAGCCGCTGACCTTGTCTCTCTCCCTGCAGATGAGCAGCAGCTGCTCGGGCCTGAGCAGGGTCCTGGTGGCCGTGGCTGCAGCCCTGGTTTCTGCCTCCGCTGCTGGCCCCCAAGCCTGGGGCCCCACAGGTGAGAACAAAGGCCTCTGCTCTGGCCCCTCCTGACTTGCGCTTTTCCACGTGTTGCTTCCCCATAACTGACCAGTCACCTCCTCACCTGCCCCTTCTAACCTGTGACCGCCTGCCTCACCTGTCCGCCGACCTTTGTCTCCACATTAGAACAGGATGCTTTGACCCAATGACCAAGGGTTTCACTCACATGGGTTGGGGGAGGGGGGAGGAAGAGCCTCTGCTCAGAAATATCCTCCACAGGGGTCCAGTATGGGCAGCCTGGCCGGCCCCTGACGTTGCATTGCCCTGGAGTGACTGCTGGGTAAGTGAACCCCTTCACCGTCGACCCTGACCCTCATGTCCACTCCCGTCCTTGCTCCTTCAGCTCTCTCTCCCTTTAACCCCAAACGGCCCCCATTCAACAGCCAACAGGAGGACTTGCTAAGGGCCTGGTTTCTTGGAAACCCCGGGGTCCAGCTAGCACAGGCCCTGCAGGCCAGACCTCTGCCCTCAGAGTTTGCATCTTAGGTGGCAGCCAGACCATAAGTTGAAAAGAATCTTACCAGGCAGTGATGCCTTCAGGGCCCCAAAGCAAGACTGGCTCATGGGGAAAGGCTCTGTGGGGAGTTGATATGGAAGATGATTTCCAGAAAGTCAGGAAGGAGGACCCCCCTGCCACCATATCCCAATATCCCAGTAGTGCATAGTGGTGGGGGGATAAGTATTCCTGACTGGGGGAACAGCTTGTGCAAACGCCCTGAGGTGGAATGAACTCATTCGGTCGGGACTGAGAAGACTAAGGGGACTGGAATGCGGTGGGTGAGGGGTTAGGGCGGTGGGAGCAGAAGGCAGGCAGGCAAGAGCTGGATCACAGGGTGGGGTGGGGGACCAGAAGGGAAGGGGGGGCTTGGTAAATCAGCAAAAGGAATTTGGGGTGTTTTTGTTATTCATTTCCTGAGCTTCTCCAGCAGAGCTCAGGGTGCCATTGGTATAACCCGTGAGGTCTGATGGCTCAGGGCTTGGTCTGCGGGTGCTGGGGGTCACCCACACTACACTCAGCAGCTCTGGGGACCATATGGTGCAGGGACCGAACTTGAGACCTCGTGCTTGTATTCCCTGGCCCAGGAGGTTTTGCTATTGCGCTGTCTCCCAGAGCAGGAGCTGTTATTGTTTTGCCCCCAATTGCCGCAGTTTAATAGGAATTTGGGTTTTGTTGCAACAAGTCGTGGCATCGTTTAGTTGCCACTGAGGGCTGTGGCATGGTCTGACTTACATTTTTTTCTTTCTTTTTAAATAAGGGCCAGTCGTACTGGGTGGCCCAAAGCCACTTGGGCTGTGGTTCTGACCTCACCGTGTTCAGTGCTTGGCCTGCTGGTGCTGGTGGCCACGGGGCCACAGCTGTGCTCTGGGGTCAGTGCCCTGCTCGGGATGGAACATGTGAGTGCCATGTCCTGCTGTCGGTCTTCCATCTACAATCATCTGCTCTCCCCCACAGAGTCCCTGTGTCCTGGTTTCGGGATGGAGAACCAAGACTGCTCCAAGGACCTGACTCTGGGCTAGGGCATGAGCTAGTCCTGGCCCAGGTAGACAGTGCTGACGAGGGCACCTACATCTGCCAGACCCTGGATGGTGACAAGGGTGTCGTGACCCTGAAGCTGGGCTGTGAGTTTGGGAGGGAATATGGTGTGTGTGTGTGTGTGTGTGTGTGTGTGTGTGTGTGTGTGTGTATGTGTGTGTGTGTGTGTAATGAGACTTGAAGTTCCTCAGGGGATTGAGGCCCATGGAAGCTATTGGGGTGAGGCTCCAGCTGTGCCCTCTGCCCCTAGACCCCCCAGCCCGCCCTGTCGTCTCCTGCCACGCGGCCGACTATGAGAACTTCTCCTGTACCTGGAGCCCCAGCCAGGTCAGCGGCCTGCCTACCCGCTACCTCACCTCCTACAGGTGTGTCACAACGGGGGTGAGCACCCATGTGTGCAGGGTGCCAGTCCGACATGGGTCTGGGAGGCGGGGGCGAGGGGGGCGAAGGCCCTTGTTTTGCTTCCTGACCACAGATGTCACCCTCCCTGCCAGGAAGAAGACCATGCTGGGGGCTGAGGGCCAAAGGTAGGACACCAGGCAGAGGTGGGGCAGTGTGGGGGGTACCAGCTGGGTCCTTCAGGCCGCATTTTCAAAACCCAAAACCCTCTCCTTCCTCCTAGGATGAACCTATCCACAGGGCCCTGGCCCTGCCCGCAGGACCCCCCCGGGGCTGCCCGTTGTGTGGTCCATGGGGCAGAGTTCTGGAGCCAGTACCGGATCAATGTGACCGAAGTGAACCCCCTGGGGGCCAGCACGCGGCTGCTGGACGTGAGCCTGCAGAGTATTTGTGAGTGCCCGCCCTGACATCTCCCCCAGCAGAACTCAGACGCAAACCAATCCGACACAGACCTCTCAGCCCTACACTGCCCTTACTCATGGGCCTAGCTCAGCACACGGATGGGCCCCGTGCAGCCAGGAAACCAAAGGGATGGGAGCACCAGAGGGGCTGCTGCTGCCCCCGCCCTCCACAGGTCTTCCTGGCTGTCTCTCTCTCTCTCCACTTGGAGGCCCCGCACTGAAGACAGCCACAGCTTCTGTCCCCTCTGCTCCATGGATCCCTCACCTCCATGGGGGCCCCATTTCCTCTTGCTGTTTGTGTGGAAGGCGGGCCCTACAGCTCTGATTGGCATTTGGGCCCATTTCCCCTCTTTGGGGAGTGGAACGCAGAGTCGCTTATTTTTACTTTTATTTTATTTTTGCTTTTTGGGTCATACCCGGCGATGCTCAGGGGTTACTCCTGGCTCTGCACTCAGGAATTACTCCTGGCAGTGCTCAGGGGACCATATGGGATACTGGGAATCAAACCTGGCTTGGCTGTGCTCAAGGCAAGCACCCTACCTGCTGTACTATGCTCCAGCCTGTATTTATTTATTTATTTATTTATTTATTTTGCTTTTTGGGTCACACCCAGCAATGCACAGGGGTTACTCCTGGCTAATGCACTTAAGAATTACTCCTGGCGGGGGTTGGGGACTGTATGGGATGCTGGGAATCGAACCTGAATTGGCTGCGTGCAAGGCAAACGCACTACCCGCTGTGCTATCGCTCCATCCCCCTCACCTGTTTTTAGAGCCCTGTCCTAGACCTCAGGTCCTGTCCCCAGATCTCAGAGCAAGGACGACAGCCTGGAGCTGCCTCTCACTTGGGCTCCTAGTGAGAGGCAGTTCCAGGTCTCTGCCCTACACTGGGTCTTGCTACATTCAATCGCCCTTAGGCACACACCTACTGCCCTGGGGAGGTGGTGGGTCAGGACAGGAACCCACTGCCTGCCCTGATCAGCTGTCTCCAATCCCTCTCCAGTGCGCCCTGACCCACCCCAGGGGCTGCGGGTCGAGTCAGTCCCTGGATATCCCCGGCGCCTCCATGCCAGCTGGATGTACCCGGCCTCCTGGCCCCGCCAGCCCCACTTCCTGCTCAAGTTCCGACTGCAGTACCGCCCAGTGAAGCATCCAGCCTGGTCCACGGTGAGGCCTGGAGCTTGGTCCCATCCAATGGTGGCTCCTGTCTTGGGTTTCCTGTTCCTTGGTGTTCTGACATCATTAGCAGGGCACCTGGACCTTGTCACCTCCCTCACTCCAGCAAGTTCTCCCTGGGCTGGGCTCTGCTCCGGGTGGGACTGACCTCCTGAGTCTCTGCCCTTCAGGGCTGGAATGCTGAGATAGACCCATGTGTTGGAAGGCAGCAGCAGATTATTTTTTATTACTGATTTTTGTGTGTGTGTGGTTTTGATTTTTGGGGCCATCTGCTTGGGGGCTACTCCTGGTGGTGCTGGGACCCAGCCATGGGGTGCTGGGGGTAAAATGTGGTCCTCCCACCTGTGGAACATGGGCCCAACCCTTTGAGATCCCTCCTCCACCCCAGCGGTGGCTTCTTAAAAAGAACTTTTCTTCGAAAAGCACCCTGCCCCAGAGGCACACCCAAACACTCCCGTCACCAGAGAGGGCAGTAGTGAGTTCCCACCCCTGGGGGCTCGCGTGGTGAGGTTAACCCCCCAGGACTCTCAGCCTTTACTATTTCGGAGCTGTCTGTCTGCTGGACACCTCGCTACCCATTGCACATGTAGGATCTCATGTAGATGCAGACAGAGATCTCTACTTTCCAAAAGAAGGAACAAGCACACCCATAGGCCCAAGGTTACCCAGTAAATGATTGTTTCTTCTTTGGGTCACACCAGGCGATACACCGGGGTTACTCCTGGCTCTGCACTCAGGAATTATTCCTGGTGGTACTCAGGGAACCATACCAGATGCTGGATCGAACCCGGGTTGGCTGCTTGCAAGGCAAACGCCCTACCTGCTGTATTATGGCTCCAGGCCTAAAATGATTTTTTTTGGGTTAATACTTTTGTTTTTTGTTTGTTTTGGATTATACCAGGCAGTGCCCAGGGCTTACTATTGGCCCTGTGCTCAAGGCTTACTCCTGATAGTGCTCAGGGGACCTTATAGGGTGCCTGGGAACTGAACCATGGTTGACTGTGTGCAAGACCAGAGCCGTAACTCCTGCCTTATCTCTCCCAGTTTGACCAAAGCTCTGAACTCAGGCAGTCTGACAACAGAGCTTGTTTACAGGACCACAATGCACTTTTTGGAGTGTGTGTGTGTGTCCTCTATGGGGCTCAGAAGCCACAAGGGCTACTCCCAGGGGTGCCATATGGTGCTGGGGATCAGGTTCATGCAAGGCATGTGCTCCACTTCTCTGAGCTGGCTCCCTGGCACCCCATGCACTTCAGTTTTATAGACACTAGTACAGAACTGACCCTTTTAAGTGACCCCATTGTGAAGCGCAGGCTGATGGGCTCAGGAATGGGCGGAAGGGGGAGTCTTTGTACAGAACTGACCCTTTTAAGTGACCCCATTATGAGGCGCAGGCTGATGGGGGCAGGAATGGGCGGAAGGGGGAGACTTTGTAGACTGGGACTTGGGACTAACAGCCAGGATGAGGCACAGCAGACCCTCTTCACCCATAGCTGGAACCAACTGGACTGGAGGAGGTGATCACGGATGCAGTGGCAGGGCTGCCCCATGTCGTGCGGGTCAGCGCCCGGGACTTTCTGGACGCGGGTACCTGGAGTGCCTGGAGCCCCGAGGCCTGGGGAACCCCAAACAGTGGTGAGAAACTGGGCCACGGGGAGGAGCAGAACCCACCCAGCCTCTATCAGATGGAAGGGGTGCCAGGAGCTGGCAGGTGGCAAGGCCCTGCCCACCACAGCATGGTGCCCTGCCCTGGCTGCCTGGAACCCCAGCCCAGCCCTGCTTAAGGCCTGCCCCTCCACCTCCACCCTGCCAGGTCCTCTCTCCAGGCCCCACCTTGTCCCCCTGTTCTGGTCTGCACCCCACTACACATGGATAATCCTCTTCCTTCTCTTCAGGACCCCCACCGAGAGAGGTACCTGCTGGGCTCCCACTACACAGTGAGCCTGAGGAGGAGGTGCAGGGTGACAGCCCCACCCCGTCACGGCCCTCCCTGCAACCAGACCCTCGGCCACTCGGTAAGCATGGGCAGATGCTCGGGGGCCAGACTGGAGTCTGCAAGATGGCTTGGACTGTCTTTTAGTGGCCTGTGATTCCCCAGACCACAGGGACCTCCTGGAGCAGGTGTCCGTGCTGGCCTCTTTGGGGATCTTCTCTTTTTTGGGACTGCTGGCTGGTGCCTTGGCGTTAGGGTTCTGGTGAGTACCCCCTGTCCTTCAGCCTCTGGTCCCACTCATGCCCCACGCCCCCCAGACCACACCGCTCCTGAGCTCCCACCAGCCTGTGCCACTCTGGAACTCCTCACCCCGCCTTACTCGGCTTTTCATGATTCTCATGGATTTCTCTCCGGACCCTTTACTAAGAAATACTTTTGGCGAGGGACAGAGATACCCCGATTGTTAGGGAGACAGCTGCCTCTTTCTGCTCCAGGCTGAAGCTGAGGCCACGAGGGAAAGATGGATACCCAAAGCCTGGCTTCTTGGCCCCGATGATTCCAGTGGACAGACTTGCAGGTGAGCGGGACTGCTGACAAGGAGGGCTGGGCTCAGAGATGTATGCTTTCCTTTTTGAGTGTGTCGGGGTGAAGAGCTTGATGTCCTGGTCATTATAGCGGTGATGGGAATCAGTTCTGTCTCTTAACACCCTTGCCACCAGGGCTCAGGGATGAACCTTTATTCCTGGAGTCCCTGCGCTTTGTGTTGTGTTCTTCTTCATCTGACTGAGTGCTGGGACTTCTAGGTGAACCCCTTCCTCATATTCAGGGTGTTGCTATCAGAGCTGGCTATCTGTCCTTATCTCTGGGAAGTCTGTGACCAGAACTGGGTCTTTTTTCTTCTTTGATTCTATTGTAGGAGGGGGGCCATGCTGTGCCCAGGGTCTCACCCATGCAAAGCAGGCACCCACCCCCCATTTGAGCCACACCCACCTCCCCTCTTCGTTCTAGGCTCGGAGCTTCATCAGCGTCTTCATCTCAGACAGAGCAGGGCTTCCCTATTTCCTCTGAGTGTTGAGCTCAGAGGTCCCCCTTCCTCCTTCTGAACCCAAATCCAAGTCTTATTCTAATTCTTGGTTTACCTCCTGCCTCTTCTAGGAGCCCCCACCCTGCCGAGGACTCAGGAGGTCTTCAGCTGATCTCTCACTGTTTTGCTGGTGTAGATGGATGGACAGATAGAACCCAGGCAGAAGAGTAGAGCCCAGTGGAGGGGCGTGTCTCAACTTCAAGTTCTCGTTGGAGTCCATTTCTGTGACTTTTTTTCTGACTTGCCGGCAGAAATGTGCTTGGATTTCTGATCACATCCCAGGGCAGGAAGAAGAAGTGTGTAGGGTGTGTGTGTGTGTGTGTGTGTGTGTGTGTGTGTGTGTGGTGCCATGTGTATTCGGGGCAGGGAACAGTGTACAGGTACATCAGAGTGTATGGCTTTGCCCGGTGCGGGTGGTGATGGTGTGAATAAAGAATGAGGAGGTTATTTGTTTTTTTCTTTTTTGAAAAATAATTGTTGGACCAATTGTTGGGTCTGGAGCGATAGCACAGTGGTAGGGCGTTTGCCTTGCGTGCGGCCGGCCCGGCCGAGCCGGGTTCGATTCCTCCGTCCCTCTTGGAGAGCCCGGCAAGCTACCGAGAGTATCTTGCCCATATGGCAAAGCCTGGCAAGCTCCCTGTGACGTATTCAATATGCCAAACACAGTAACAACAAGTCTCACAATGGAGACGTTACTGGACCCGCTCGAGCAAATTGATGAACAACAGGACAGTGCTACAGACAATTGTTGGGCCACATCTGGCAGTGCTCAGGGCTTACTGGCTCTGTGCTTAGGAATCACTCCTGGTGGGGCTTGAAGGACCATATGAGATGCCGGGATTGAACCTGGGTTGGCCATACGCAGGGCAAATGTCCTACGACCCCCTCTCCTGTTGCTCCGGCCCCTCTTTTGTTGCTTGACTGTCTCCCAGCTCTAGATTCAGGGCCTCCAGGAAAGGGCAGAGAACTTGGACACCACACCACACTCAGAGAATATTGTTCCAATGCTGCTTTATTGTTTTGGCTTGGGGGACCCCTGTATTTTTTTCCCCTTCAGCCCCAACTTCAGAGTGGTTGGGGTCCCCTGAAGCCTCTTCCCTCGGCGCTCAAACCAGCGTGCTAGGCTGCGGTTCTTGGGGTGGATGCAGACGGTGCGGTGAGTCAGGTGAAGCCTGGGGAAGGAAAGGTCCAAAGACTTGGTGGGGGCTTGGGAGTAAGGGGTGAGGGGCAATGGCTAGGTGAAAGCCTGAGGAGGAGGAGGAGCAGTGAGAGTTGGGCTGGCAGCAGGGGTGGGAATGGATGGTCCTGCAGGGGCAGGGCTAGTGCTCACACAAAAGCTTGGAGGTGACAGTTCCCATCAACCTTCTGCACTTCTACCCGGACGACCTTCCTCAGTAGCTTGGCTGACAGTGGCTGACGGTAGAGCTGAGTACAGCATGTGGCGACGGGCTGCAGGGGGAGTCCTTGGAGACGGGGGCGGGGGGGGCACGGACTCAGAGGGCTCCTGGCGCTGAGCCCCCCTCTCAGAACAACCCCTCAGCTGCAGACTGGGCTTCCTGAACCCCCACTTTTCTCTCCATCCCGTTCAGCCCCAAAGTCCTCACCTTCTCCAGGGTGCAGGTTCAGGAGCAAGAGGAGCAGTAGGACGCTGCCGGTGGGTGAGCGCCCCTTCATGCTGTCCTGGCGGGATGCTTCCTGCTCGCTCCTCCTCCGCCCCTACCTTTTATCTGGGTGCTTTTACCTGGGGCACCGGGTGAGTCACAGACAGGTGAAGATGTGTTCGTGGCTCATCCTGTTGATGCTCCTGGCCCTAATTGCCCCAGGCAATTCAGACCCCCCCCTTCCTCCTTTAGGACTGCCGTTTCCCAGGGGCCCCGGAGGTCCAGCAGAGAAGCTGGGGTGAGGGTGTAAGAGGGGAAAAGGATGGCACTGTCACTGAGGACAGGCATCAAGGACCCGCAGTGGCATCCAATCGTGGACATTCACCCTCCCATACCCCTAACCACACGTGCAGTCACACCTCACTCCATCAGCCTCACGTGGCCAGGCATCGTTAGGCAGAATCCTGCATTCCCAGTGATACTCCGACGCCCTCTCCGGCCACTGTGTTCTCACAGCAGCCCATCACTCAGCCACATCAGCACATACAGATTTGGATGGGGGAGATATGGGTGGGGTGGCAGCCAAGAGCAGGCAAACATCAGCTTGCCTTCGGCTTCCCTTCCCACTCCTCTTGCCAGCCGCACTTATCAGGAGAAACTGATGGGAACGGGGCCCTATTGCTGATGGAGAAATCTTGGCCGGGATGGCGTGCTTTGAGTCAGAAGCTGGAGTAGGCCCTTTTTTGGTGGTATTGGTTGGTGCCTTGGTCATGCTGAGGTGGGGGCTGTTTTCCCTAGGAAGACTGATGGGAAGAGGGCTAGGGAGGACAGAGAGGCCATATAAGGGCACGTAAAAGTCTTTGTTGTTTGCTGCTGTCAAACAGGTTAAAAAAAAAACAAATTTTATCTTCCTATTTTTGCCCTGTCCTGTCACAGGAATGCCAGCCTCCTGCCAGCAGTGGCCTGGGCTTTCCAGGCCACTGTGACTTGTTTGAAACAGCAGACTCAGGAATACAATGATCCCTTCTGCTCTACTGAAAATTCTAGCCACTGGCCACTGAGGGGCTAAGGGAACATTCATCCCCCCTCCTGACTTAGGTGTAGTAGTACTGCCTCCACTTCTGCACCCTCATGCTGTGGGCTTCCCCTTCCTTCCCCTTCTGGTTCCTTCTCTCCTCATCCCATGCCCAGCCCCCATTCTCCTTAGCCCCTCTCGAAGGCCCCTCCCTGCCCCCTGGTCCCTTCAAGGAATCTCCTTGTCCTAGGGCCTGGTTGCTAAGTGGAGGGCCCCTGGCACCTTGAAGGATTTTCCACCCCTGGTCTGGGCATTTCAACCCTTCAGCCCTGTTCTATAGTGGAAATGTAAACTGAGTCATAATCCGGTCCCTTTCTGTTCGTGGCAGTGATGTCGTTGTGACCTTTTGCTCTGTGGTCAGCTACCTTGTCAAGACAGGTCTTCTCCTGGACTTTGGTGTCACGTTTTTCCTGGGCATCTTCCTGCCGCACGGCTGCTCCAACAGTCAGGAGGGACCTTCGGCTCCAAGAGAGGACCAGCTCCCCTTGTAGGCTGGACAGCTTGAGCATTCCCTCCCTGTTGTACAGAAGTTGAAAGCCCTTTCCTGGCATTTATCTAGTGGATGCCCTGGTTCTCTCTCTCTTCCTTTCTCCCTCCTTTCTCTCCTCCTTTCTCTCCTCTTTCTCTCCCCTCTCTCTCGCCTGTCTCCACCCTCCCCCTCCTCTCTCCCCTTTCATTTTTGGATCACATCCAGCTGTTCTCAGGGCTTCTACTGCCGTGTTCAGGAATCACTCCTGCTGGGGGTCATATGGAGTGCTGAGGAATCAAACCCAGGTCCTCTGTGTGCAAAGCAAATGCGCTACCTGCTGTACTCCAGTCCCTGCCCTGGTTTCCGACAGTGTCCTGATGAAGTTGCTCAGTTCATTTTTGGAAACAGTTTTTTTTTGGGGGAGGGGCTCTCAAGTGATGCTCAGGGGCCACAGGTCCCTCCTCCTGATTCTCTGCCAACTAGGTTTTCAGTTCAATGTGAGGGCCAGAGGATGTGGTACTGCTGGGGCTCTGTAGTATCAGGGATTACCCAGGTCACCCTGGCAGTGACAGGGTCACCCCTGATGCTGCTTAGGAGACCATGGGGTACCCAAGACAGAATAGGTATTGGTCACATGCCAGGTCTGCCCCTTAACTTCTGTAGTATCTCTCTGATCCCTGGGAAACTGTTTTTTGGGGCCATACTTGGCAGTGCTCAGGAGTTATTCCTATCTGTGCTCAGGGCCTGGGGGACCATATGTTGGTGCTGGGGGTCAAATCTGAGTCCATCATGTGCAAGGCAAGCACTCTACCTGCTGTACTATCTTTCCAACCCCAGGAAACACCGTATTTTACTTTCTTTGAGTTTTCCTGGGTGCTGAGGGCTACCAGGATTCCACCTACATAAAGGGGCCATGTGGTATTAGGGATCAAACTTGGGGCCACTCTCATGCTGGGTGGTTCACTTTTTTTTGTTGTTGAAATAAATAGATTTTATTTGGAGGATTTCTAAGGTGTGGAGGGGGAGAGAGAGAGAGTAACGTAGTCAAGAGAGAACAGGGGCTTCTCTAAGGGCGGAGAGAGCCCCTACACACATCTTAGCATTAGACACGAAAACATGAAAGTACACATCTCAAGAGGGGAGATCGGGTGACACATGTGCTCAGTCCACATGTGCTCCGCCACGTGGGCGCAAGCAGCACATGGGCTCAGGCAGCATATGCCACTGGGTGGTTTACTTTTGAAAGGGTCTTTGTGACAGGCAGTGTGAGGGAGTTGGGGCCCAAGAGATGAGTCCTAAGGTGGCCACAACCCAGAGGTCACTCTGTGTTTGCTTTGGGACAAAGGGCCAACTTGAACTTCTTGTACCAGTGGCCTTCACTCTCTCTCCTACCATCCAAACTTGTGCCCCAGAATAGGCACCGCCCTTGAGGCACCATCATCTTGTCACAGAATCTCCCCATCAGCCTCACTCTTTCCTGTGCTTGTCACCAGAGATCTGGAGGGCAGGAAATAAATTCTTTCAGTATGCCTCCACTTTTTCCCTTTGAGATCCATTAAGATAGAACTTGAGGGGCTGGAGCGATGGTACAGCGGGTAGGGCGTTTGTCTAGCACGCAGTCGACCCAGGTTCGATTCCCAGCATCCCATACGGTCCCCTGAGCACTGCCAGGAGTAATTCCTGAGTGTATGAGCCAGGAGTAACCCCTGTGCATCGCCGGGTGTGACCCAAAAAGCAAAAAAAAAAAAAAAAAAGAAAGAAAGAAAAAAAAAGAGATAGAACTCAACATGTGATCTGCTTGAGCAGTGGCAGCCACAGGCCTGTATGTCAGTGTAACCCCATCCCTGGGGCTCTCTACTCCTCAACCTTTTCCCAGCCAAGACCTCCATCTAATCTTGCTTCCTTCCTGGGCACCCTAGGCTGGAATATCCCAGAGGCCCACAGGTGCCCACCTGACCCCCTGGCGAGACATACTGCCTTAACATAACTTAATTCTCTGGTCTCCTTGATGTCACAGCTGGCGCTGAGCTGAAAGCAGGTCCACCTCCCACTGCCTGACCTTTAGCACTGCAGGAGGCAGTGGACCAAGCAGGCAGTTCTCCTAAGGGAAGGAGCTCCAATTCGGGAGGTTGGTGCCAAGAGTTTCTAAATCCTGGGGGTCAGACTGGAGGAGTCAGAAGCTGGGCTACAAACTGCAGGGGAAGATCCCTAAACAGTGCCATGTCAGTCCCCTGTGGCAGGCTGGGGGTACCTCCTCTCTCTGGGACTGCTTTCGTTCCCCAACTCTGG